ATTGAGATGTTTCATATATAATATGAACTTTTTTTTTTTGGTAAGTCAACGATGATGATTGCGATTTACATAGAATGATCGGATTTGAAATGGGATATTGTTCTTCTTTTTCTATAAGTTTTAACGAGTATAAAAGATAGTTATGGTTGTCACGTCGTACCTCATACTCAATTGACTATTTTCTTTCTGTTGGAGCCCGAGAATTATTAGATACCCTACGGCCTACTACTATCATATGACTAAAATCTATATGCCAAAAATTACATGAGACACCTGGAATTTTTGACTGAATTTTAACCCGTTTTTTAGCAGCTATGTTGGTGATTCTCACGTTCTAGTGTGAGGATCCTACCAAAATCAATTATAATCATCACGAGTTGAGTTATAATCTAATTTTAAGACCAGTTCACTGGAAATAGATAAACTGAAATTAGTTAACTAAGCATAGAGATAACATGTTTAATATTGCAGGTTGATTTGATTAAATCTTATTTTCATGTCGTGAATATAATATAGATCAGTATTCTAAAAAATTGGTCTATGTAGCGCTTAATTTGCAAATCGTTATAAACGAAACGATTTTTCTAAACTAATTTTAAAAAGTCGGTCTAACTGTTAAAAAAATCGACTTACTTGGCTTTCTTTGTCTAAAGTTTTGTACTGAAACATACTACCAAATATAATATTTAATTTTATAATATTTTTAATTCTTTTTGAAATACAGTAAAACCTCTATAAATTAATACTCGATAAATTAATAATCTCTATAAATTAATAAATTTCACCGGTCCCAACTTGGGCCGGTGTAAAATATGACACAAATCGATAAAATAATAAGATAATAATATTTTTAAAACTGCCATGTAAATATATGGTCCCACTAACATCATAAATTATTAATCTAGCTATATATAATTTTATATAAGAACAATCTAACATTATATTGTTGGTTTTATATTTACTATAAAATAATTTTATTTAACAATTCTATGAAACATAAAAATATACACCAAATAAGATAATAAAACAATATAAAGGTCCAATTTCTAAATTTAAATAATGTATATATGCTAAAATCAAAAATATATTTTTTATTTTATAACTAAAAATGGAAAAATAATAAAAATCTAAATAAGGAAACTTTCGTAAATTAATATCTCTATGAATTAATAAAATTTCAAAGTCCCAACATTATTAATTTATAGAGGTTTTACTGTAAGTGGTCACCACTCACCAGTAATAATTATGTATTAATGTAGTGATGTTCTTTCCTAGCTAAAAATACAAAAAGATAAACTAGGCATGTTCAAAGTCAAAGTTGTGAACAGATCAAATCAAATAGAATTCCCTTTTAATAATTTACCAAGTGGTATGATCCACAGTGACGTAGCCCCTCTTTTACACACCACCGTGGATTTAACAACCAGACGTTGACTCTTCCCACCATATATCTTCAGACCAAAACATTTCTCCACCATTTGCATACGATGATAATCACATGGCGATCATTTACAACCGTTGGATCGCACAAAGCGCTCTATTCCCACTCCTCTTGCTGCTCTTGCTCCAGTCCGTACCGTACGGATCATGTCAGACCGAACCGCCTGTTCCCCAAGCGAGAGCCAGCGACCCGATTGTTATAGTGATAACCGTCATGTTCTTCGTTGTCTTCATCATGGTCTTCGGCTCCATCTTCTGCCGACGAAACTCTGTCCCATATTACTCGCGACCTTCTGTTTTCGGATTCACCGACTTGGACGCTGGAGCCCGCGTCGTGAGGGTAAGGAGGTCGGCGGCGCGTGGACTCGAATCGGAGGTCATAGAGACGTTCCCGACGTTTATCTACTCGGAGGTGAAGTCGGTGAGGATCGGCAAAGGCGGTGTGGAGTGTGCCGTTTGTCTCTCCGAGTTTGAGGACGAGGAAACGTTACGTTTGATGCCTCCATGTTGCCACGTGTTCCACGCTGATTGCGTCGACGTCTGGCTCTCTGATCACTCCACGTGTCCTCTCTGCAGAGCTGACCTTCTCGGGGAAAAAGGTGGTGATGAGAGCAGCGACTTGAGTTCGGATCCGGGTACGGTTTCGTCGGGTTCGGATCCTGAGAGAGGGGTTTTAGAAGCTTCCGACAGGCATTTGCTGGACGGCGTGACGTGGACCAATAGTAACAACATAACGCCTCGGTCAAAGTCAACGGGTTTATCCAGCTGGAGTATAACCGGTTTTCTAACCCCGAGGTCTCACTCGACCGGACATTCGCTGGTTCAACCGGTTGGAGATCTCGACCGGTTTACGCTGAGGTTACCGGATGATGTGCATAGGCAGCTGATGAAGACGAGGACGGTGAGAAACGTGTCGTTGCCTCAGGCGAGGAGTTCTCGGAGCGGTTACAGAAGCGGTAGTGTTGGGAGCGGTTACAGAAGCGGTAGTGTCGGGAGCGGGACAGGTGGCGTGTTCTCGTACGGTCGGAAGAATCATAATAACAACCGACGGATGCAATCGCTCTCTTTCTCCTTCTCTTTCAGGAGTGGTTCCGTTCGGTCTACTTTCGGTGGAGATACGGTGGCTCCGCCGAAGAATTTTCCGGCGGCTACTGAAACTGGTGAACGGTCTTTCGAACGGCTCCGACCAGATGAACGAGTGTAAATAAGATTCTTGAATGTTCTGCCTTTTGATTGCTTACCAACAAACATGACAAATATTTTTTTTGTTGAAAACTTTCGCTTGATGATCATCAGGTTTCTGAAACAAAAAAAAACATTGTATGTGTGAGATTGTGATCTTTGAAGCGTCTATATTATATGCATTGATCGTCACTGTCTTAAAGCTTAGTTCACCAACACATAATGAAAAAAAAAGCATTTCAAGAAATATGATGAGACATTCAGTTTACTTCACTACAAACATCTTGAAGTTCAGCTCATTGGCAGCCAGATCCAAGCAAAGTCACTACCATTCTAGCCCAAGAACTTTTATTTTCTAGCTACCTTATATGATTGTATTTTGGTAAACTTATTATACCATTGTCAAGGACCAAACATTTACTTGGATTGAATATATATATTTCGAGGATTAAGTAGAAAAGGAAAAACATACATTGGCCGAAAGTCATAACGTAACCTATTAAGACCAGAAAAATGTGGTAAATATTGAATCAGTTTAAAGATCTAGTATATAAATAAGACATTTGTCTAAGTTCTTAGATATCAAATACAGAGTAGCTTCTTCCTTATTTACTGAAAAGTTTTATGTTTTTTTTTCTCTTGTATAGTACTTGTATCAAGTAGAATATTTATTGGGACTGAACAATGGTAACATGTACACTATTTTTACATCTACTGAGACTTGAGGGACAAGAGTTTTCCTCCCCATCTATAACAGTTAGAAGCCATGAACTGAATTACCATTTCATTGGTTGTACTATTTTCATATTAGTTTTAAGTTGGAAAAAAGTTAAATCTCACAATTTGTGCAAAAAAAATAATCTAATATATCAGAATGAATTTGAGAATTTGCTCTTATGAGCCTCAATGGTGCATGATATTTCTCCATTAGTTTATAAACATCATTATGAATTACTAGAACTTAACTAATGATGTCAAGCTTCAATAGCATAGATGGAATGCATTCTGAATATATATATATTATATTTTGTCAAATATTTATTCTGAATATCATATGACACTCAGTTAAGAATGTACCTTACATTCTCACCATCAGAAATCCCATAGATTTTTCACCAACTTGGTTGAAATGCTGAAAGATATTATTCAGAAGCTTAAACTAACAAAGAAGAATCAAGTATTGCATCAATATCGGAGTTCTTACCGTGATTCATTAGTCAGAAAATTTATGGGATAATATTTTCATTATCTTTCTATATATGCGTTTGTAACGCTATTTTTCATGACTTTTAGATGTTGATTGTTTGTGATTTTTGGATTAGTTTTTGGTTTTTGTTTTTTCAAAAACTAATTTTCTTCTAAACAAGTTTTTGCAAAATGATTTTCCTAAATTTAGGAAAACTAGTTTTTACGTATTCTTGAAATTTAGCTAAGATAAACGAACCTGGCGATGCAAATGATTTAAATTAGGAAATGTCACTGAAATTAGTTCTTCAATGACATTTGTATTTGAGAAGGCAATGACAGAAGGAGATACAATCTGGATCACGAACACGAGCAATACGCAGATCCACCACGCCAACACTTTATTGTATTAAAATAAAACTTTAAATGTTATTTTTATCTAATAATAACATGATTAAAGTATAAAAGACCTCATATAAATTTTTAAACTTACCAATCCTTTTTTAATAATATTGAAGTTAGTTATTACAAATATATATTGCTGATAATTTTGGTTTTATATATATGAGATTCACGATAGTTTTAATTGAGTTTTTTAATAATTTAATGTGTGTTTTAATGATAGTATTTTTATTTTTTTCAGAATAAATACTATAATAAAATTTTCATTTTATTAAAATTAAATACCAAAAACTAAAATCTAAAACAACCATTTATTTAAAAAAAAAAATTAAAAACTACTATAAAATCAAAAACTAAATACTAAAAGCCAAAATCTAAAAATCAAAAACTAAAAACCAAAAACCAGAATCTAAAACCTAGCAAAACAATCTATCACCTTAATGACATTAGTCAAAGTCTTTTCTTGAATCATCAATGACATTTGACATTTCCTGGCGTATTCAGTTCTTAGAGAAATTACCAGTATGATTAATATGGAAACCAACAAATTGGTTAAACATATACTACTATATAAATACAGAAGGTATAGTCATTATACATTAAGAAGATTTTGTATTCTTTTATAGTTTGACTTATTGCAAACTAATTATGCTTTTGCATTTCAACTTATCCGCTATATCTATATGAAATGTTTGTTATAAAAAATCCAATAGCCACAAGTTTTGAGAGTGAATTGATTACGTGCTCTCGGAATTTTGATTTTCTATAAAGCTAGAAGAAAAAGTTTTTGATTTACTCTTTATCCATAAAACTCATATTAGATTGTTAAATTATCTCGAAGTAATTATTAAATGAGCCTAACTCATATCTAATAGTTAACTCAAAAATGGAAGATTGCCTATACCTTTATATATTGTCCAAAGAACACAATTGTGTCCAATGTGGATACTTAGTAGTCCCTCTCGAGATGTGAGTGGGAAATGGTCCATATGAAAACATATCAAGTCCAACATCTTGGAATGAATCACTTTTATAGGCTACATAGATAGGAAACTGTTTATGTGAGAAATCATATGTTGCGCTAAATCATGGTTCTGATACCATATTAGTAATGAGCTTAACCCATATTAGTGGAAACCCATACACTTATATATTTCCTAAGGAACACAATTGTGTCTGATGTGGAACACTTAATAGTAGTAGATATGTCGCAACCAGAAGGCGACCTAGCCATCATGATGTTCACGTCTCTAATCTTTGCTATCGCTGGCGCTCTCGCCAACTTTCCTCACTAAAACAATATGTGATGTAACCATGACAAGCAACCATGTCAAGAAGAGGAGAACAAGGTATGAAACAGTTAGAAAATTGATCATTGCTTCGCTTAATGGGCTGTTTATGGCCTTATCGGTTTGATCCAAGAAGTTTTGGATAGAGAAAAACATTTGGGCTAATATATGGACGAGTTTGGCTTGTTTATTATTGTTTGACTTGTGTTTAGGCAATGAAAAAAGCCCAGAGGGTTAGACATCAAAGGCAGCCCAATTTTATGAAGTTTCAAGTACATTAGAAACAAAAAAAAAAAATAAGAAGTTGATTTTTTTTGCTAAGAAGATGGAAGAAAATCAGATATTGGATTGTATGGAAAGTTTCTCTCTCCAGCATGCAAGAAACATTTAAGTATTTTATATTTACTAAGTATTGACAATACTTTCTTATGATGTTCATGCAAGTGTATTGTCTTTTTCTAATTTTATTGTCATGCATAGCTTATTGTTTTATATTTAAAGCCTTGTATGTTTCATTTTAGATCATTCAATATTTTTTTAAAAAACTCTTCTTTCTAAATTATTGAATCTTTTATTCATTATGAACATTGTATTTTTTGTTGTGACGTGAGTGATCCCAATCAACAAATCCTTTTATAGCTGTTTTGGTGCGTCCTATCCAGAAATTTGGAAGAAGGTAAATCAAGGGTTTTCCGTAACCTTTGTGTGACCCATTCAATCTATCTTTCTATCCTATTCACTGAATCAACCAAAATAAGAATGGCCCTTCCTAGGTTTTCATCAATCTGTAAACTCTGAACTTGAAATCCGGACCGTGAGGAGGGCTAGGAGTAATACGACGGCGCGTGGGATCCATGCGGCTATCGTGAAATTGTTTCAGACGTTTCTTTACTCAGAGGTGCCTTAAACAGTTTTTCATACCATAGCCGTTTAAGAAGGTGCTTCTACAATGATCAGATTGGAATTCCGTATTTCAGAATCATTTCATGGATGGTTCTGTCACTGGCGTTATTCTGAAGGGGCCACTCTATACTCGTTCGTATGTTTGACATAACTAATAAACCGATAATACGTTACGTATTAATCATACCAATAATAATATATGTACAAAGTCTCACGTGTCACCAGAAGAATGGTTGATACCTAATTAAATTAAGTTTACCCTCAGTAAATTTCATGTTCAAAGAAATCAATTTCTTTCTTAGAATCATTAATGTCAATTTTGACATTCTTGTGATATTCAGTTGTTGGAGGAATTACTCTTATGATTTATATGGAAACTAACAAACTGGTCAAACATACTATATAAACACAATAGGTAATAAATATCTCATTAGCCATTGTTCAACACACATCAATTTAGGAAGAATCTGTATTCTTATACAATTTGATTTTATTGCAAAGCAATTCTATTTTTGCATATCAACTTATTCACTAAATGAAATGTTTTGTTATAATTACTAGCCACAAGTTTTGAGAGTGGATAGATTAGTTTATCTATAAAGCCAAAAAAAAAAGTGAATTTACTCTTTGTTCATAAAACTCATAATAGATTCTTAAACTATCTCCAAGTACTAGATATGCCGCAACCAGGCCCAGAAATCATGAGAAACAAAGGCGACCTAGTCATCATGGTATTCACATCTCTACTCTTCGCAATCTTCATAGTGGGTTTAGCTTCTGTCTGCTACCGCTGGAGCTCTCGCCAACTTTCCTCACTAGAGAGATCCGTTTCAGAACGTGAACTCCAGAGGACGTCGCGTGGGATCGACGCCGCGATTGTGAAATCTTTCCAGACGTTTTTATACTCTGAGGTGAAGGAGAAGAGGATCGGGAAAGGCGGAAGCGAGTGTGCGGTGTGTCTTTGTGAGTTTCAAGACGATGATACGTTGAGTTTGATGCCTAGCTGTTCCCATGTGTATCATTCTGGTTGTGTGAATGTTTGGCTCTCTGATCACTCCACGTGTCCACTCTGTCGGGTTGATCTTGCCTTCCAACCGGGTGAAGCGGATCCTGAACTAGGAGTTATGGATAATACTACAGATGCGAATTTGTTTGAAAGGATGACGTCGACCAATAGGAACAGGGCATATGGGCAAATGTCGTTGAGATTGTCTCGTTCTCGAGTTTCCGACATATTTTGCCCGAGATCTAATTCGACTGGACATTTTTTGTTTCAACCGTTAGAGAATGTAGACCGGTTTACGCTCCGGTTACCGCCAGATGTACGGAGTAGACTGATGAAGAAGCCGGTGGTTCGAACTCAGGTGAGAAGGCCGTGTGGTTTGTACAGAAGCAGAAGTGTCGGATGCGAGATGTATGGTCCGGATGAGCTTCGGTTGCTCCGGCTAATAATGGATAGACATCTAAAGAACTCCAGGCGTAAGAAGTATGGAAGCTTTTAGGTGTATGTGTGTTTTTTTTTTCTTTGGAACTTCTTATGTGTGTTTTTGTTGCAGCATTCTGTAGTTTGTGATCATTTTGTGTTTGGAACATGACAATTTCAGATTTTTATTAGAAAAAAAAGGAAAAGTTATTGTCAGAAGTGGGATTTGAACCCACGCCCTCTTTCGAAGACCAGAACTTGAGTCTGGCGCCTTAGACCACTCGGCCATCCTGACACTTTTGATAGGATATGATGATATTTTTTACATAACACATTTTGTAATCTATGTTCTTTACCTTCAACCAATGCAAAATGCCAACTGTATACAATTGAACATGTAAGCAGACCAATCTATCGATATGGGAACTGTATAATAGTGTCTTTTGAAGCCTATGATCTATCTTTGGTGTCAGGAACATAGTGAGTGAAGGAAAGGGTTTAGACTCGTGCTTAGTGCTAATCGAGACATGTGAGACACATGGGAGTGTATATGTAAATGGCTGAGATATAAAGCCATATCCTTTTGGTTGGTTTTTAAAGCTGAGATTGATCTGAGACTAACACCATTGCTGAGAGCAGAGCTCAAGCTCCTGAACCGTGTTCTACTACTGGATTGCTGGTATAACCAACTCCAATAAAGTATAGTTCTTCCTCACATGGAAGAAAGTGAACACCAGGTAGACAAGCTTTTGTGTGTTTATTTTCTTTCTTTCTTATTTGCAAATCCAACTAGATTCAATCTAAAGAATCTTAACATGAACAAACCAGAGCACAAAGTCTATTAAAAATCACTCAAACAAGAATATCAAAAACAAATGTTTAAACAACAAAAAAAAAGAATATAATCAATCAGTAATATCGAAACAAAGCTTAGCTTCATCCCAAGGACCATTAATCTCAAACTTAAACTCCTGCATCCTAATCAACCAATAAGGACACACAACATTAACAACAACCACAACAACAAGAAACAAAACAAACAACAACCTATGCACCACATAAACAGCGTACAACGTCAAACCCAACAACCCAAACGAGAACACCAAATGCAACCCAAACGAAAACTTCTTAATACAATAACTAACAAGCGGCGCGAACAAAAACACCTGAAGCGAAAACAACATCACACCGAACACATGCCCTCTCGAATTAAGCCTCGAAGCAACAAACACAGACGCAACCACCGAAGCATTAACAGAGATACAGCTCGTCAAACTCGGACTCTTCAACGCCCCCGGAGCTCTAATCGTCGTCCCGGAATAATCATGTAAGAAGAGATGAAGCATCAGGAGAGAAACCGTAACGGCCCAAATCGAATCTGAGCTTATAGATCTCGTTAACGTCTGGTAGACAGGAGCTAAGATGTAGAGTCCTGTAGTGAAGAAGGTGATGTTGGTGAGGTAACGTAAGAGGAGGGTTAAGGAGAGCATTTTCTCTTCGGTTAAGAGGAGGACTAAGAAGCCTAGGGCTAAGAGGGAGAGGTCGAGGAGTAAGAGGGAGTTTTCGTCGAGAGAGGATTGGAGAGTGTGGAACCAGACGAGGACGACGAGGGCGACGATGGAGAGGTATTGGGAGATTGAGATTGAGTCTTTCATTACTTTGAGGAGGTCGCGTCGGACTACGTTTGCGTTCATTACCATTTCGTCGAGGAAGGTTTCGTCTGTGTAGTTGTCGTCGTATCCGGTTTGCATACCTCCGTAGGCTACTTTGCGCCATTTGGGTCTGGGAGGGGGAGGGGATGAGGAGTCTTCGGTGAGGTTTTTGTCCATTTTTGGGGGATTTTCAGACGACGGTGACGGGAGATCGAAGAAGGAAATTTAATCGAGAGGAAGTGAATTTGTGACGCTTTTTGTAATAAGAGAGAGTAATGGGGAGTTATTGGGAATAAATTGGGTTTTTTAACGTGATTGTATAAGAAAAGAGGTCCTTACAATTAAAGAAAATCTCGGTCGGTTTTTATATTGGTTTGTCCAAAACTTAAACATCTATTCGTGTTCTGTCTAAGCTAAGACTAATTGTCTTTTTTATGCTGTTATGAATCTCAGACACAAAGGACCTTCACAAGGTTAACCTATTAAGTAGGCTTTATTTTTAGATTATGTGAATCTGTAGAGAGGTACCTTGACTACGTTCTTAAGGTCTAGTTGTTCTAATCGGAGATGGCCAAAAAGGTTGAGATGTTTTTTTTTGTAACTTAAGAAAGTTGATTATGTTTCAATGATGAGTAGGATGTAAAAGTAAAACTTACAGTATACAACTATTAAGCATGTGGTACTCTGTTGCGTTAGCGTATAGAGAAGGTGTTAAATGTTTTCAGTAGTTAATTAAGAGTTCCCGGTTAACTCTTTTTACTTCGATCAAGTTTAAGAATAAATATTTTGATTATTGGAGTCGACAAAGGATAGTTAAACATGAGGTTTTAGTCAACATATATTGTCAACCACATCTGCAAACTCAGATGGCTGAGACAATACCTCACCGAACAACAAAAGAAACATGGAAAACAAGGTTGTTGATAAAAGCAGAGCATCTCTCAAAAAGTAAAATAATCAATCAAAATATGAGACCATCCCAAATTGCTTTCAAGTAGAATTATCATTACCAATTCAGTCTTCTTCTTCTTCTTCATCTTCCTCCTCAGATGCTTCCTTGAGCCACTGTATGAACGCCTCACATTGCTGCAGATAAACTTTGTCAGCTTCATCCGCCCCGGCTTTCTCTTCCGCCCATCTCAATATCGCATCTTCCTGCACCACTTCTTTGTCATACAGAACTTGCAGGATCTGCGCAAACAAAGGGCTCAACTCCCTTGCAGTTTCCTGACACATCTCTTCAAACTTCATTATCACTTCTATCTGTTCATCAGTATGCTTTACATAGTTACCAAGAAGTCCCTTCCATTTCGCAATGATACTCGACGCATTTTCAGACAACTCACGAAGAGAGCTGTGTGGAGTATCAACTGCCAGTTTCATCATAGCGTAGAATATTGCTCCAGCACAATCCGCAGATTCCATGTTGTATGACAACCGAAGTGAGTTTATCTCCAAAATTCCAAGTTCCACTTTGATACCCTCTTCAACGGCCCTTAAGAATGTACCTTCAACTTCTCTCTCAAAGTAACCATAGTCATCACCTGGATCATTCACATCAGTGTTGACACTATCAACATCAGATTTCAACTCTTCAGACTTCCGGGGAACAATTTCGTCCTCCGTGTCATCATCCTCCATGGCTTGAATGATCTCAGCGAGTTTATCCTCAGGGATTGGCGCAACAGAATGCTTCCACTCCTCATCATGAGCCCCTTCACATACTTCCCATATATAACCTACTCCATCAGGACCAAGCTCAGATCCTTTAGACTCCATCTCCAAACTCAAACCAGACAAACGATCTGCAGTCCCGCTGCTACTATCAGCATACTCCAGCTCCTCATCACTGTCTTCCTTCATCGGCTGCTGAAGCAACGAAACCTTAGAATACGCAGGAACAACAAACCCCCTCCCAACAACAACCTTAAAAGACAGAACAACACCAGGCTGCAAAACAGCCCCTGCTCTGATCCTCACACCATCACACACAATCGCATTCCTTATCTCACACCCATCTTCAATCACAACATTATCCCATACATAAGACCCTTCAATCACCACATCAGCTCCAATACAACACCCATTCCCAATAACCGAGTTCAAAACCCTACCCCCATTCCCAATCTTCGTCCCGTAACCAACAACACTACAAGCCCCAACATCAGCAGAACGTGACTGAACCACATCAGAAGCCTTGTAAACCCCTTGCCTCCCAACCTTCAAAGGACGGTTCCCACTAAAATTAACATCCGGGACATAAGGATAAGTCCACCTCTGGATTATATCCTTACTAACAGTATCATAACTCCTGAAATTATCAACCCTAGAAGCGTAACTCGACCCAATCTCATGAGTGAAAATCTTATACCCCATGATATCATCACCAAGCACACCTTTAAAAAAATCACGCCGCAGATGCTGGTAATCAAAGTTATCCTCAAAGAGACTAAGCACCTCGGGAGAACACACATCGATATAACAATCCTGCATATCGTTACAAATCATAACAGACGGATTACTCTCCATCAAGGCTTTATCTAAACACACACTCCCTCTCACGTGATCAACCTCGTAATGAAGAAGCTGCTTCGTCACCGGATCAACGGCTACAAAAAGCTCATCGGTCCCAAGCCTCGACTGACGCGTCATCGGCGAGGGTTTCGATTTCTTGATAACCATCGTCATGATGGCTTTCTCGTCCTTCTTCTTCCTCTCCCTATGCTCTCTAATCAAATCCGCCAACGGCATGTTGCTGACGGTGTCTCCGCTCACGAGGACGAAGTCTCCCTGGATCTGCGAGGTCTCCGTTTGCTGCTCGTAGATGTAACGCAAGGCGTCTCCCGCGGAGATCGATCGGTGGGATTCGATGGTTCTGACGAGGAGGTTTGGGTGGGATTGTTGCTCGGAGGAGGTTTGGAGGTAATCGGTGATTTGAGTGGAGTGAGCGCAGCAGAAGACGAAGACTTCTTCGATGCCGGCGGATTCGAGCCAGGCTAAGGTGTAGTCGATCATTGGGACGTTGGCTAAGGGTAGGAGGACCTTGGGGCGTTCTAGGGTTACGGGACGGAATTTTGTTGTGAAGCTGTCGGCGAGGAGGATGGCTTGGAGACGTTGACGGGTTTGTTCTTCCGTGTCGTCGGAAACCCTAGCGCCGCCTTTTTTCTGAGCTCCCATCTTTCTCTGGAATTTGATTTCGTCTCTGGCTGATTGATTTCGATTGATGAAAACCTAAAACCCTTTTTCTCTTGAGTTGGTGATATGATAAAACTGAAGCTTGATTTGTGAGATTAGGGTTTAATTACGTTTTGCAGTTATAAAGTAATTTATAGATCTCTTTGTCCTCAGATTAATTACTTTTTTAATATGCATCACTGTTACGGGTTTTTACATAGTAAGAAAATCTAAGTCAAAAGCTTTCATAGCTCAGTTGGTTAGAGCACCCGTTTAGTAAGCGGGAGGTCTTGAGTTCAACTCTCAATGAAAGCATTTAGTTAATTTTTTGGATATTTATTTTGCATTACATACAACTTTGAGAACAATATAATATTAACGCCTAGAGATTTTCGGTTCTTGACAAAAAGACTCATTTACCCGTTAATACTACACCTCAACCAAGATTTAACAGTCCCATTATAGACTACTAGAGTTCTTATTTGCTTCAAGTCTCCATCATTATTTGCTTCAAGTCTTCATAATAGACACTATTTCAGTCTTCATAGTAGGTCTGCATTATAGTTTGGTCAAAAAGGATAATTAGAGTTTGATGAAAGATGATGCGTAAAAATATGTCACTAATAAGTAGCAAAGTAACATTACCTGAAGATGGACCTTGTAGAGTAAGTATATAAGCAAAGCTAATGGGATGCTTGTAATGGACTTTTTGTCAAAGACATCCAAAATTAATACCAATTCATTTTAGAGGCCTAAAAGCCCATTTTGAATTTGCTAGTCAAATGTGGGCAGCTTGCTTCGGTGACGGTGAGAGTAACAGACACTACAAGATCCCAAAACTATCAATAACAGCTATTATTATAAATCCACGAGTGGTCGTCCCACAAAACACCACCACGACCCATGTGATGATCAAATATCTAAGTGCACTAAACTCAATGCACTCCAGTCATTTTTCACGTGTCCTTATTCATATTTAAATTAGACTTAACATAATAATATAAACCGCGTTTCGTATCTGATACAGATCTACGCGTAGAAAGATACGTACATGTTTCAGTTTGTATATGGTCTAACATGTCTGCGTTTCAACGTCTATATAAACGTTTCACAATGACACAAAAGAAACCAACAAACATATCTAAATATGGACCTCAAGCTCAATCTAAAGCTCAAGCCAAGCTTCTTCTTCTCCTTTCTTACTCTCATCTTTCTTCTCAAAAGTCCTGGTTTAGTATCAGCATCTAATCCTAAATGCATATCCACCGAGCGAGAAGCTCTTCTCACCTTCAAACAATCACTTACTGATGTTTCCGGTCGGCTCTCTTCTTGGACCGGACCTGACTGCTGCAACTGGAACGGTATTCTCTGCGACGCCAAGACAAGCCATGTCGTCAAGATTGATCTCAGAAACCCCAGTCAAGTAGTTAACTCTGATGAGTACAAAAGAGGTTGCTTGCGGGGTAAGATCCATCAGTCTTTGACCAGACTCAAGTTCTTGAGTTATCTAGACTTGAGTTCAAACGACTTCAACGGCCTGGTGATCCCTGAGTTTATCGGCCAAATCGTTACCCTGAGGTACTTGAATCTTTCTTCTTCATCGTTTTCCGGTGAAGTTCCTGCGAGTCTTGGGAACTTGTCGAAGCTGGAGTCTCTTGATCTGTACGCTGAGTCGTTTAGTGACTCCGGTACGACGTTTGCTTTGACCGCAAGCAACCTCAAGTGGCTTTCTGGTCTGTCTTCTTCACTAACTTACCTCGACATGGGGTATGTGAAACTAAGCGGTGCTGGTGAGACCTGGTTACAAGATTTCAGTATACTCACGAAGCTGAAGGAGTTGCATTTGTTCAACTGTGAGCTCAAGAACTTACCTTCCTCCTTGTCTTCGTCAGCAAATCTAAAGCTCCTTGAAGTTCTTGATTTGTCTGAGAACTCACTCAGTTCACCGATACCAAACTGGCTCTTTGATCTCACCAGCCTCAGAAAGTTGTTCCTGAGATGGGATTTTCTCCAAGGCACCATTCCTTCTGGATTCAAGAACCTGAAGCTTTTAGAGACATTAGATCTGTCTAATAATCTTGGACTCAGTGGAGAAGTTCCAGCTGTTCTTGGAGAGCTTTCTCAACTGAAGTATCTTGACCTCTCTGCAAACGAATTCAACGGTCAAATCAATGGCTTTCTAGACGCCTTCTCCAAAAACAAAGTCAATAGCCTAGTCTTTCTCGATCTCAGCTCCAACAAGTTAGCAGGAACATTACCTGAGTCGCTTGGAGCGTTGAGGAATCTACAGATTCTTGATCTTTCATCCAACTCCTTCACGGGTTCAATCCCTTCTTCTATAGGAAACATGTTGTCACTGAAGAAACTTGATCTTTCTTTCAATGCCATGAACGGGAAAATCCCTGAAAGCTTGGGGAAGCTTGAGCAGCTTGTGGATCTAGACTTGATGGCCAACACATGGGAAGGTGTTCTGCTGCAGTCACATTTCATCAATCTTAGAAGCTTGAAAACCTTCCGTCTCAACACTGAACCAAACAAGTCTCTTGTCTTTAAGGTGCCATCTACATGGGTTCCTCCTTTCAGACTGGAGCTGATCAACATCGAGAACTGCCAGATCGGTCCTAAGTTTCCAATGTGGCTTCAAGTACAAACCAAACTCAACTCTGTCACACTCAGGAACACTGGAATTGCAGACACAATACCACACAGCTGGTTCTCAGGTATCGCTTCTGAAGTAACTTACTTGATTCTAGCAAACAACAGAATCAAAGGTACATTACCTCAAAACCTTGCCTTCCCTAATTTAAACACCATTGATCTGAGCTCCAACAACTTCCAAGGCCCTTTCCCTCTCTGGACAACAAAAGCAACAGAGCTGCGTCTTTACGAGAACAACTTCTCCGGTCCTCTTCCACTCAACATTAATGTCTTGATGCCAAGAATGGAAAAGCTATACCTCTTTCACAACAGCTTCACAGGATCAATCCCATCGTCTCTATGTGAAGTCTCCGGACTGCAGATTCTCTCCCTAAGAAACAACCGTTTCTCTGGTAGCTTACCAAATTGCTGGCATCAGTTCATGCTTTACGGAATTGACGTTTCTGAGAACAACTTATCAGGCGAGATACCAGCCTCTCTTGGTGCGTTACCTTCTCTCAGTGTCTTGCTTCTGAACCAAAACGCATTGCAAGGTAAAATCCCAGACACTCTTCAGAACTGCTCTGGTCTTACTAACATTGATCTTGGAGGAAACAAGCTGACTGGGAAAGTTCCATCGTGGCTAAGTAAGCTGTCTTCTCTCTTCATGCTTCGTCTCCAAAGTAACTCCTTGGATGGTCAAATACCAGATAGTCTCTGCAGCGTCCCGAATCTACACATTCTTGATCTCTCAGGAAACAAAATATCAGGCCCGGTTCCAAAATGCATCAACAATCTCACTGCCATTGCTCGTGGAACAACAAACTCCGAGGTGTTCCAGAATCTTGTCTTCGTCGTTACAAGAGCTCGTAAATACCAAGAAATAGTCAACAGCATAAACCTCTCTGGAAACAACTTAAGCGGAGAGATACCAGCGGGAATCTTGGACCTCTCTTACCTCCGGATCTTGGATTTATCAAGAAACTCAATGGCAGGAAGCATTCCAGGGGAAATTTCAAAACTTGGTCGCTTGGAGACGCTTGATCTATCAAGAAACAGGATTTCTGGTGCCATTCCTCAGAGCTTGGCAGGGATATCTTCTCTGCAGAAGCTGAATCTTTCGTACAATAAACTGGAGGGGAGAATACCACAGCTTCTGAAGTTTCAAGATCCGTCCATTTACATTGGAAATGAGTTACTCTGTGGGAAACCACTACCTAAAAAATGTCCACAAGACGTTAATAGGAGATTGTTGTAGTAAACAACATATGGTACTAACAAGTACCTTACAAAGAAAATGTACCTGATCATTCCCAAATAATTATAATAAAATTACCAGCTCTAAGCTGATCAAGTTGTATCCACTTACATGAACTTAGCCTTTGAAGACAAATCAATCCAATAAAAAAATGAAATAAAATAAACATTGCTTTCAGCAGCATCCCTTACAAAAGACAACCGACCAATCCTTTCACAAATATCTAATTCAGAGCTTATGAGTGTTTAACTAGTTCAGGTTAAACAGGAACATTGCACACTTGTCAACAAAACAAAGAACTAACTAAAGACATAAAAATTCTATAGAGTTTCCCCACTTGGTCTAGAGCACTAAAAGTAAAGATCTTGAAAAAATCTGACGACTTACTTTCCATTTAAGTCTCAGTGCGAAGCCAGCAAGAAACAAAAAAGGAGCCAAACGCCACTAAAGGAATGTATAAGTCTTGCGCATTTATATCAAAAGTTTACCCCCAACTGGTTCCGACAACCTAAGAAGCAAAAACTCACACTAGTTACTTACTCTCCCTAGCATTATATAGAAACGGACAGAGGATTACACAATATAAAGAAACTAGATTACTCTATGTATAAATGAAAACAGAACAATCTTCAATATGCTTCTCACATATTGACCATTCACTTGAAAATAGTATACAGTATCAAAGAAGTAACGGCATATCTTCCCTTTTTCAAAAGAGTAAAGAACTTCAAACCATAACATTAAACTCGAGGTGGAAATGGAATCAAGTCACAGCAAGAAGAACCACTTACACGTTTCTCTGAAACATGGATGAGCCCATAACCAGCTCTCGGAGGTCTTGAGATCATAGGCTGAAGCGCAAAGTTAGTATTGTACATAGACAGTTTTTTTGCTTCTCCTATTTCTAAAAAGCTATTGAAACATGAATATGATATCATTTTCCATCTGAAATGTATGTTTAATCCAAAGTTTCTGTTTCTAATTGTTCGTCCACAAAATGTTCGCAAGACTAAATCAAGCGTCCCCCAGAGAAAGGATACATTCAACAATGGCAGATTCGATGAGTGATACTCATCAATCGACAATCATAATGCACTTCCGTCTCGATCAAGGAGAATCCACAGTTATGCACGGAGAAGTTAGCAAAGCTTATATAAAATCAAATGAAGATCATCAACCTATGACAGAAGGAAGATGAAAATTTGAATCCCGATGCAGAGAAGAAACAGAACCTTGGAGAAATAGAGAGAGAGGCTCGAATCATCCAAACTGTGTTCTGCGCGCTTGTACAGTGACTTAGAGTGAGCAACGACGAGTGTGTTTCGATTCGAATGAGAACCAAGTGCTTCACTGCTTTTACGAAATTGCAGTTCTACCCTTTACGTTGGGAATTTAGAAATATTCTAACGTAAACCTCTAAGTTTTACTTGTTGACAATATAGACCTCTACATTTTACTTGTGACAAACACATTTCATTGTTTTATTTTGATTAACAAAGCTTCTCTTCTTCTCTTTGACATTGATGTGGCATGACATAGCTTTATTTATATTCCCTGCTCTCTTTTTTCTCCTGCTTGAAGATATAACGTGTGATTGATGAGCCATCACCTTGTTCATCTTTTTAAAAGTTAATCAGCTAATTATTTGATTCTCTTTTACTACTTTGTTCACTGTTTGATCAAGGAAACCGATTGAAACTAAGATGTGTTGGTGCTATGTGTAGGTTGATTAAGTATAACCAACCGGGCGTTGATGGCTTGCTGCAAAGTTACAAGTCCATATGTCATAATTTATAACGTTTTAACTCTTTGGAAAAATTGAAATAAAAGAGTTTTGGTACCATTCTCTTTTGCTTTTTTTACTTATTGGAACTTGAGAAAATTAAGGTCAAGGTAAGTTTTTAGTATCATTTTGAAATATAGCTTAAAAAGCTGAGACTTGGAGCTTTGTTTTATTGGGTATAGGTAAGCTTTTTGTAAAGCTACATTATTTACTGGTTGTAAGTCTGTTTTCTCCATGTTCAACAAGTAATGCCTCACCAAATAGTTATGAATGATATCAGAATTTAAAAGCTCCCACCAGCTGTTGAGTATATATATATAAATCGATATTTTTAAAGTATGTAAATAGTAATGAAGTATACAAGAAACATATTCTTAGTTTGTTACTATCAGAAATGGATAAAAGATTGAGATACGTAAGATGGGAGAAAAAGTATGAAAATGATGGTTCAATGCAGCTTTGGATGCCAGGTCTGTCTTCTCCTCCTTTACACGCAAAACTATACCGTTTGTAGATTTCATTTTTATTTCATGTTACCTCTTTTATCTTTTTATTTGCCAGATTTATTTTGCCTTTTTCGTATGTAGTACATAGTTTTGAAGAATATTATGACAAACTCATGTGCAGTAGTACCTACAGTTTTCTGGTGTAAGAATAATCCAGACTGTATTACAATAAAGAAAAAGTCAGTTATCAAACCAAATCGACATAAGTTATTTTCCTGAGCAGGTGTTTGGCTAACTAGAGTAATCGAACCGAGTAGACTAAAACGAAAGACTAATGAAATGTGATTAAATTTGTTAAACTATTTTAAACCAAAGAATGAGCACAGAATGTTTCTGATCTACTATTTGCATTGATTTTGTTCATCATTACCTATAATCTGCAATACGATGATAACCCAAACAAAATTATACTTTTCAGTACTACTCATAATCACTTAGCTTTCGTCGACACAACATTAATGCAGGTTCGCCATGCATGTCAAGTAGTACTATATTTATAACCATGCAAATCAATATTTTATATAGTTGGCTCGTGATTATTAAATGCGACATGTACACACTTGGCTTATTTTCTAAAAAAAATAAAATTTGATCAACTACTTATTGTTAAAAATTTAACCGGCTGGGATATAAAGTCAACAACTGTGTGGATCCGGCCGATCCGCCCACGTTGGCTCTCCTTCTACATAGCAAGATTCTTGTCTCCGGTTTGGCTCAGTGGGCTTATTCGAGAATCGAAACAAATCGTTTTATTCGGTGTTTCATCTTTTACTTTTATAGTATGATAGATCTTTCAAGGGGGAAACATATATACTTGCATTTGTGAGTGTCATCTTCTTTTTTTTGCTAAAAGTGTGAATGTCATCTTTGCATGGGAGATTAGAAATAAAGAAAATAAAAGCATAAAGCATACTGAATTTGGAAAATGGTCCAAACCCTTTTTTAAGCACGTCTGTCTATATATGTTTATGCGTATTTATACATATTTGTTTCTACACATTCTTATAACCCGAGGCTCCCCTGGGTTTGTGGACGTATTTTCGTCACTATATAGTTTTTTTTTTTTTGAACAACATGATTGTTTCTTTTTATAATTTACTTTTCATATTTTAAAATAATTAGTATAAGATATATTTTAATTTAAAAAAAAGACTTCACGTAAAGTTGTATTTTCTTTTTGGACAACCACGTAACGTTGTAATATTCTGTCAAATAATCTCGTTTATTATTGGTACCTAGTTAACGTGTTTTATACACTTTAGGGCGTCACTATAATTCTAGGAGCTGAGTGACGAATATCTTAAAAAGAAATAAAGTAGTTTCTGACAGATTAATTTCAAGATATAATCACTGAATGAACTCAACCAATACCCCGTCATGGATTGTTTAGACACACTGAAATTACACTAAGATAATATCTAAGTTTTCTCCAAAAAAAAAGAATAAGAAGATATCATCTATCTGATATATATATATATATATATATATTATTTCTATGTATATTCAGTAATTTATGCAACTCCCACAAAACATTTTTTTCCAGCAGAATTAGAACTTTCAAACTTTGAACTAAAGACAGGTAACGTTCGATGACTTTTGTACGTGCGACCTCATAATTAAGAAAAGAGATACACTGGACTACAAGGCAAAATATTCATACAACAAGCTCTGTAATAAATATGTTACACATTTCTACCTATTAGAGATGGGATTTGGACCGCTTGGGACTCCATGTTCACTGTTATTGAGCATCTTCCCCTTCCTCCATGCGGTCATGGGCCGCCGAACTCTAAACGTCTCTCTTCTTGTCCCTTCCGGAGAAGTCACCGCTACATCACGGGCGTGTTGATCACTGGAACCAATACGGTCACTTTGATCAATGGTTCTTTGATGGCTTTGGAGGACTAAAGAAAGGAAGAATAAGAAAACAAGTGAAATGATGATGTGAGGAGATTTCATCACATGTTAGACCAATATAAGATTATATGTGTATTCTGCCGTAAAAAGAACAATACACACAGAAAAAGAGTTTACTGCCTGTGAGGCATAAAGAACTGGAACGGAGAAGATCAAGGAATGAGTTTTGATATTTAACAAAACAAATATAGAGCTCGCAGATAGAGAGAGATGTGTGAGATTTGTGTAAGTAGATTTTCTTTTCTTTTGGTGTATTAATGCGTGGAAAGTGCGCGGGGAAATAAAAAGAAAAAGCAAAGATGGTACGATTTTTTATTTGCTTTGTCTGTAGTGTGAATGTGAACTTTGAGGATTGATGGAGACTGAAAAATCAAAAAGGCCACAGCATATTTAAATGTGGAGTCAGTCCTTTTTATATAAAACGCTACTAAATTGATCTTCTTCTGTTGACAAAAAAGAAAATTGATCTTCTTCTTTATTTTTTTGCTTGAATATATTAATTATGATTAACATTACCTGAGAGAGCTTATTATTGGTGAACAGAAAGCTATCGACTTTGACCATTTGATTTGGAGATTCGGAGACAAACACAAGCTGGCGATCTTTTTTCCATCTTATACTAGATTCTAATCAATCAACCAAAAAATCAAACATAAATAAAGGAAAAGGAGTAAAGGAAATGGAGAAGAGAACAAAACATTTTCGGAAAATTTAGCCACAAAAGACAAAAGAGTCTCTTCCAAGCTCCATGACAAGATTTATCAATGTCATGTTTCTATTTGGACATTTTCATATCACTAGTCAAAAGATTTGTTTGGTCTTCCCGAGTATACTCTCCTAAATTAGGTAGAAAAAACAATTACAAAAGAGGAAGAGTTTTTACTATATTCTACATGATTATCTTACAATCATCTTGACAACTTAAATATTTACAGCTTAAATAAGTTGAACTTATTAAAAAGGTTGAGTTTTTTAACAAACATTGTGTCAAAATATGTCACAAGAGAGTTTAACTGTGACAGAATTAAGTTAAATTCTACATCAGGTTTTTGTATTTCTTAGAAACCAAAATAAAACTGTTGGATTAAACGTATTGAATATTCAAAAAAAGAAGAAGTTGCGACTCACTTCTCAGATGGGGACGCCATGGTGGGTAATGAATAAAGAAATCTTTGGCGTTTCCATGTAAATGAAAATAGTGTGTCGGTAGCCCTATATATGCATTAACTTAAGTAAAACTTGTCGATGAGGACAGTGGCATCTCGGCTGATGGTGGTTAAGGTGTTGGTCCATGAAACTTCTCTGAGACAATTCTTTTTAGTATTCCCGCTTCGTATCCTCGATATATTCATAACTTCTAAAATTTTGTTTTCCAAAGATTGAGACGTATACTTGACACATCGATATACTGTAAGGTAGTACCATAACATTTCCAAAATTAATTTATAGTAATTGACATCAACGTTTCACATCATTCACATTCAATAAAGGATGAGATGTAGCATTGATTCCACTTGTTGGTATTCGTTGGGAGGCATGCTTAGAACGGCCTCTAATAAATTATCTGATAACAAGTGCGTACTGAAAGGAACCGAACTTTTTCACAATGCTTATGGCATATTCACCCTCTTGAGTATTAGTTAATCAATCTTTAAATCTGTTGTTCATTTCTTCATCGACATTAATTCATCCCTTTTATTCGGTTCATGACATTCATCCTTCTCTTGAAAGCAATTTAGAGCTCTGGAAAGTAGTACGCCTAGTGGAAAGAACATTGTTCCTTGCTTTCACCATAAATAACTCACCAAAAGACTTATTAATTTGATAATTAACTCACCAAGCGACATAATAAAAATTGTTCTACTTTTTTGACCCAGTTCAAAAACAACTATTATTTTCTTTTATGTTTTCTTACTCTTCACTAGAGTTTTCATGATCCTCTAACCGTGCGTTGGAAGGTTCATGTTGCTCATTAGCAGCTAGTCCACCTTCCTGTAACAAGCAGTCCCTACTAGATTGTTGGTCGCAACCATATTTTACGGCTATTAAAGTCTTCGTTCGAACACTCACCAGGCACTCACATATGATCAAGTAAAGAAAAATTTGGTAGGTTTTGGACTCTGCTTTAGCAATTTAAATATATGTCGATCAAACACTACACGTCATTGTTTTGTATATATAACTTTGTTGCACAAAAAAAAAGTATATATAATCTTTGACTTGGCAAACAAAGAAACAATCTCTGAATCTTGATCTAGAAAGTTATACAGATTATAAAACAGTTTAACGAAATATTAATTAGTTCCTAAATACAAGAGTTGATCCAAATGTTAAATCTAGTCAATGGTCCCTATTTGCCAACGGCTCCTTTGGACTCTCCGCTTTAGGGCCCTCCACGCCTTGATAAATTCCAACGCTAATAAACATTTTTAATTCTCCCGAGTGAACGCTTTCTGCATTTCCAACGCCTTAGAAGCTTCCTCGAGACACTCAACTTACTTAACTACTTGTCTTCGTCTCGAATCTAGTCTTTCCTTAACTTTTACATTCTGTTTTGTATTCTTTCCTTTTTTTCTTTTCCGACACGTTTCCAAGTTTAGAGGATAAACACAGAACAGTTCTTCCATGACTCACAGTTTCTGTTCTTTTTACTGGTCGTTATATCAAAAACCTTCTAAAAATAGATAAAACAAACACACAGTTGCACTTAATTTCTGTTTTTTTCGTCGTTATCTTGTCTTAAACACCACTCGTTACTCTGTTTTTAGCTGAAACAGAGAGAGAAAAATTAGTATATTCAGTTAGTTTTAAAAAACGAACTTTTCTTCTTCTTTCCCCCAAACATTTCACAACGTACAGATCCGATCAAAGATGTGTCTTTATGTTGTTCATCTTCGTCTTCTTGATCGTTGAAGCAATGGCGTCTTCTCAGTTAGAGATCGCCTCGTTGCGATCTAACTTCGGATGTATCCTCAGAGATCGCAACCAAAGGCAGAATCTGATCTCCGACAAGCCGAAGAAGAAGAACAGAAGCCGTCATGTGTCGCCGGAGAAACCACGTGTCCGAAAAGGTAAGAGAAACGAGAATCTTCGAGGAGCTTCTTCTCTTGTTCAGATATGGGAGGCGAGGCTAAACCGATCCAGCGCCGGAAACTCACCGATTCATGGCCGAGAGACAGAGAGCGTTCAAGAAGAAACTAACCTCTCGGTTCCTTCCCTCGACGGAGACTCTGAATCGGAGAACGAGTCGAAGGATCCGACGGTGGAGGTTGATTCTGGTGATCTAAATACGGTTCTTGATTCTGGTGAGAGTAAATGGGGTAGAGTCGCTGAGATTATACGGAAACTGAAGATAAACGCCGGAGATAATGTCGGTGGGGCCGAGATGGTGAAGGTTAAAACGCCGAAGCAGGAGAAAAGTTGTTTTCCGGTGGTAACGTGTTCGCCGCGACTTAGAGGAAGGCAAGCGTTCTCTGATTTGCTTATGCGTTTGGAGCGGGACCGTCATCGTGAGTTGGAGACGCTTGTTGGACGCAACGCAGTTTCTAAATTTACTCAACGCGGTCGCCTCCAGGTTTACTTATTTCCAGAAACCACCCAATATTTTCACATTGTTTACAAAATAGCTTATAACTTTCTGAAAACTCTCTCACACTTTTGCTTGTTAACACAGTCAATGTTGCGGCTAAGGACTCTCAAACGCGGCCTATTGATTCAAGAACGTCATCTTTCTAGCGCAAAAACACCTGATCTGAATCGTGTTGGACTTGGTTCTACAGTTCTTCACCTAAGGTAAGATCAAGAACCTCTGTATTCTCTTCTTGCAAGTTCAGCTCTCAATCTTTACATTGTTAAACAGAGAAAGATTCAGGACAAACGCCACCTCTGAAGCAGAACGGAAGAAGAGCCAAGAAACTACCTTAAAAAAAGAGAGCATGCACCCAAAAGAAACTAGTATTCTTCTAAAAACTGAATCAAAGATAAGTAACCTTGAGCTGCAAGAAACCAAGGTACCAGAAGCTTTGAAAAGAGAATCCGATAACACTATCCCCCACACCATCGTAGCTCTTCAAGAACCGTGTGCACTGGAGAACGAGGTGGAAAACCGTACACAGGGAAGTCAAGAAACACTGTTACTTGAGAGACAAGAAACGTCGTTCAGATGGGAAGATGAGGAAGAGTATGAATATGAACAATCTTATTACGGAGAAACGAACAACGACTGGTTTACAGATATATCTCGCCCTCGGAGTTATTGGGAAGATATGAGGAAATCGCGGTATTTGGAAGTGATGAACACTCGATCTGACAAAGATGATATATGCAAACTCCTTGAGAGGTAAAACAAAATGAAAAAAAACATAATTTCTTAACTCAAAACATCTTTTTATAACCTAATATTAGTTCTCTTTACCATACAGAAGGACAGTTTCTGATTTCCTTCAGAGCGGATTGCGAGAGAAGATCGATAAACTCATGATGTCCCGTGTTCAGACACATCCGGTTCAGCGGATTGAGGAATCTGGTAAAGAGGAGCAAGAATGTGACATAAGCCAAGAAGAAGAAGTCAGAGATGACTTGAGCCACACGTCATCCCAGTTATTTGCGCCATCACCTGCAGGATCATGGAGTTCTCAGGACATAGGAGTTACTTCCACACCTGACTTATCACCACTGCACAATCCTCAGTCCACTGTAAGTCTTGCCTTCTTGCCGACATGTCCAAAAATTAAAAACCGCAATAAATATTGGTGAGATTGACATTTAATGTCACCTAAATGTTTCAGGAGATGGAGATTATAAGCGAGATGAGATCACAGATCTTACAGCTCCAGCTAGAAATGTCTGAGCTCCGAGACTCTGTCAAAACGTGTTTGGACGTAAACGCTAGCCTTCAAAAGTCAGTTCACCGCGAAAATCCCCTGAAACGCAAATGCTGCGTTTGTAACGAAACGCAAGTTGAAGCACTTCTATACAGGTACAAAGTCATCCCATCTTTAGCTATTTCAAAAACATTTCAGTTTTGCTTTGTTTACACGTTCCTACAAAACATTTGTAATGCATTTGATTTATGTAGGTGCGGACACATGTGCACATGTCTTAGATGCGCAAACGAACTACTATACAATGGCGGGAAATGCCCTATTTGTCGTGCTAAGATCCTAGACGTTGTTCGCGTCTTCGTCGATTCAACGACCTAAAAAAACTAATAGAACCAACGGTTCAAAACGCTAACGATATTTCACTTAACCCTTATACACATGTTTTATTTCCCTTGTTTGCTTTTACGTTTCAGTGGAGAGCGTTTGCGTTTCTAATCTGCCTCCGAGATTCATATCTATGCTTTTTATAGGTGAACTACTAACCGAACCTCTTTTCTTGACGTTGAAGTTATCTTCTTGTAAAGACACATACACCTTTTCACTTTCCTTCCATCAAGTTTGTACGATGTTGAAAGGTTTAGTATTTACCGTTTTATATTATATACTTCTTTATGTACCAATTATAAAAACAATGACGGGAAATTTTCAAATTACTACCAAAAAAGAAGAATAATTCAAAAACAAAGCTTAATGTTCGATCAAAAGTGAAACATCAAACATGTCGAGAGATCATAGAACGCAAAAATACTTATATACATAGATACGAACACATATAATCGTAAAAGTCTTATTAAAATATAAGTGCTATTTTTATCTTAAGCCCTTCACGCGTTCTGTGCTGCTAAGAACGTGTTGAAGTCATCTCTAGCTTTAAGCAAGCGTGGGGTCATACACGACCGCGGCGAAGCCGGGCAAGAAACCGAGTTAGTGGTTGAAAATCTGACACGGCGATGCGGTGACGTCTCAGCCGAACCTCTCTGTTGCCTTTCCGACCGAGAAGTCTTTAAAACACTTCTCAAAGGTAAATTTTCTGTTTCCTTGTCGAATAAGAAACCTAAACTCACCGGTTCTTGCACATCTTCTCCGCCGCCTCCACGGCCACATTTGATCATCTCCACGGGTAGATCAAAGTACAATCTGCTGTTTTCTCTGGCGAGAGCAGTTGTTGAAAGCCATGAGCCACACTCGAATTTCTCAAACGAGGCACTTAGGGAGATTGTGGAGCTTGGAAACGATGGTGCTTTGATCATCATCTTCTTCTTTACAGAAGACTCGTCGCTGCTCTTCGGTGACCTCACATGTTTCTGCTTCCCGAAACTAGTTAGGGGTAAACAGAAGGCGTTGCATTTGAAATCTTCTTCGTTGTCATAGATGAAGTTTTTCATGGGAAACCTAGCTTTTCCTAAAGAAAGCATGGTTTCTTGGAGGCCAAGCTTCTTCCCTGGCTTCATCATCGGCTCGGGAAGAACAGGAAGCGGCACAGCGTTGTCTCTTGACGGAGGCATCTCCAGTGGTAAGATCATTTTGAAGCTTTCATCTTTGACATATGGACAGGAGAGAACCGGTGAAACTGTCAGATGGTTCTTCACCAAGAAGTTGAAATTAGGGTTAGGGTTTTCTCCAGGAAAAACGCTGTGACGCTGCCACTCGTCTTTGCTCCATTTGTTGGTCGTTAGACCATCTTCTAACACAATAAACGTTGGAGGGGACATAAATAAACTTAGAAATCTTAGATAATATACCTAGGTTGGGTTAGAAACTGAAGAGTTCATAGAATATATATAGGTCAGGGAAGAAGTGGAACGCACGTCTATTTAAGCGTGGGGAAGTAGTGACTAACATGTAGGGGTGTTAGCACAGAGGCGGTGTGCAGAAGGTAGTATGATAATATTTGAATATGGAAAAAGAAAACAAGAAGATACATGATAATATATGAATATGCTCAATGTGTCCACATTTTGACCACTGGCTTTTCTTATCAGGTACATGAGGATCATCAAATGAATTCTGAATCTTGGCAAAAATATTAGAAAATGATTTGAGAATTAAATAAGAAAATGGTAGGATAATCAAATGAATTCTGAATCTTGACAAAAAATATTATAAAATGATTTGAGAAATAAATAAGAAAAGAATTTCCTTTTCTTTTTCTAAATTGTTGTTGGATCATTGGATGTTCAGTTCTTGGCAATAACAAGAAACAAATGTTGTCTAAGGTAAAAATACTATAGATTTCTCTTTTGTTTTATTCCGAAAAAACATTTATTGACCGTTCAAGGTCTTCAAGAAGTTTTCTTTAAGTTAAGAAAACTATTTTTTTTCATAGCTTTTACCTATTCTTAAACAAGAAAATATAAAGAGTTCTGGGGTTCAAATCTTAAAAAACGTAAATTATACAAATTATAGAAAAAAAAAGATTATAAGAAATTTTCAGCATGATACATGATGTATCATTGAACATGGATATTATAGGGCGATTCGAAATGACGCAGTTAGACGTGTATTTTCATATCGACTGTAGAATCATCTATGTAATATTTTTCAATATTATAAGACGTTAAAAATAACAAAAAAACACAATATACTATGAGTTCCTAAGAATTGAAAAACCAATTTGTTTAACAAGGAAAATATTCAAACTAAAAGATGCCATACACGTTTTACATTTGTTTAAGGTAGTTCTTTTAAAAAAAAATCATGAAATAGACCTATATTTTCTATTTTAAAAAGGCGTCCGATTAATCCCCACTTTGTGGTCTAGACGCTAGTCTCAAGCCGAACGCCCGACTAGCGCCTAACGAATTCTCAAACATTGGTTTTATTTGATATGTTACCGAAAAGAAAAAGAAACTGATTAGTGGGCCGAACAGAGAAGGCCATATCTGAATAGCCTTTTTGTTCTAAACCCTAAACCGGGAAAAGACAAAAAAAGGTTAGCTTACTCTCTCTGTCTCTTCCTCCTCCGACCTTGTCTCCTGAATCCATCCAAAAGCTTTCGTGAGTCGGTACATCCAATGTCTGTAATCGTCAAGGTACATAATATAAGTTCCTTATAGATACATATCTATATTCTCTCTCTATCTCTTGGAATTCAATACCATACTCTGTTCATACTCTGTTATGGATTGACTTTACTTTACCTTTGGTTCCATCTAGTAATCAAGATGTGTTCTTTTGAGAAACCTCCTTAATTTAGATTCAGGGTATTCAGAAAGTCTCCACCTTTACTCAATTTAAGCACTTTAGAATTGTATATCGACTCAATTTTTAGTTCAAGTGATTGTAAAGATATGCAATTTAAGCTTGTTCTTTTTAAGGCATCGAAGGTTGTGATTAGTTTATGTTTTATTGTTTAGGAGGAACCTGTCCTTGTCCCTAACTGCGATGTCGTTGAGAACTCAGAGCTTGAAGTTGTCAACGGAGAGGAGGAAAGTAAGCTTGAGGATTATGGGACTTGTGTAGATGTTATAACCGATAGAGTCAATCAGGTGAGAATCTCTTTCACTTTGCATGATTGCATCTTCACTACCTTCTTGCTTTCGATTAGAGGCTCTTACGCAGCTATATTGGAAGTGCAGCTTGAGCAAAAAGTGGTGGAGGTGGAACAGTTTTACTCTACCAAAGATGGAGCAGGTCACACAAACACTTCTAAGAGTAACTCTGGCGGGAAGAAGGTTGCTATATCTCAACCCTCGAGGTGTAGCTCTGCTGGGAAAGAGAAAACAAGAGGGAAACATGTTTCTAGCCCTGAACTTATGCGTCAGTTTGCTACAATTATTCGTCAGGTAATGATGAAACTTTTAAGCTTGGATTGCTGTGTTTGCTGCATTTGAACCTTTTGTCTTCTTATACCTCTTAGATAGCTCAACAAAAATGGGCTTGGCCGTTTCTGGAACCTGTTGATGTTGAAGGGCTAGGACTCGATGATTACCATAAGGTTAGGATCAAACCTTACTTTTTACTTTGTGGGCCAAGTTGGTTTTATGGTTGAGAGAGTGTTTTTGATAAGTGTATCTGTCACATGGCAGGTTATAGAGAAGCCAATGGATTTGGGAACTATTAGAACGAAAATGGAGGGTTCTGAGTATAGCAATGTCCGGGAGATATATGCTGATGTTAGGCTAGTTTTCAAGAACGCAATGAGATATAACGAAGAGAAACATGATGTCTATGTGATGGCTGAATCTCTGTTGGAGAAGTTTGAGGAGAAATGGCTTACCATTATGCCTAAACTCGTCGAAGAGGTACATTACACTAAATGTTCATTTTTTCTAATTATTCTGTCATTTGTAATTAAACCGCTTTGGTAATCAACAGGAAAAGAAACAAGTAGAGGAAGAGGCTCAGGATCGTGCGAGTAAGCAGCTTGCTGTGGAGGCTGCTCAAGCAGAAAAAGCTAGGGATTTAAGCAACGAAGTAAGCAAATGCAAAACCTTTTTCAAAAATTTTGCTCTGTTTCAGGCAGTTGATTATATATATTAGCTGAGGTTTTATGAGTCTTTTGCTTGTATCTTTAGCTGTATGAGATCGATCAGGAGCTTGAGAAACTTCGAGAGGTAGTGGTTCAGAAGTGCAGGTTCAACTAATCTCTTCTCTTAATCATTTAGCCCTTAATGAATGTTTTTACTTGTTGTCTTAGCAAAGAGTTTTTTTTTGTTTGATTTATGAAATGAACAGAAAGCTGTCTACTCAAGAGAAGAAGGGGCTTTCTGCAGCTTTAGGTCGTCTCTCTCCTGAGGATTTGTCTAAGGCTCTAAAAATGGTTTCAGAGGGAAACCCACAATTCCCTGCTGGAGCACCAGAAGTGGAGCTTGACATTGATCTTCAGGTAAACACCAAAACCTTGGCTGAGTTTGTTTCTTTGTTTGTTGAGGTTTATGGTTTTTTTTAACGGGTTTTATTTTCTTTGTGAACAGACTGATGTTACCTTGTGGAGGCTGAAGGTGTTTGTGCAAGAAGCATTGAAAGCAGCTAACAAGAGCTCTGGTGGAACAAACGCCCAAAACAACAATAATGGTGGAGAGATGAACAAGACCGCTGCCAAAAGAAAGAGACAGATCACTGATGCACTAACTAAACTTAAAAAAGCCAAGAATGCTTGAATCCCTTTTTTTTTCTGTTCTCTCTCTCTCTAATCTATGTGTGTTTAATCCCGCAAGGAACAGATGAAACTGGTAAAACATCAATCTAAATTAGAGAGACTTTCCAGTTCCTTTGCACGTTTGGGTTTCAAACCTTTATTAGTACATTAACAAAAAGAAAAAAAAAGGTGAATAACATCTCTGATACATTCTCATGATCTTAAACTCTTTAATTTCTGATGATTATTACATTCTTGGAAAGATGTGGTTCTCTTCTTAGCTTCACAGAGATTCAAAGTATGTTTTATGTGCATTGTGTTTATTGACAATAAATCATTGTCACATTATGGAGACTGAAGGAAACCCACTTCCAGCACTTATGGAGGAGGAGAAATAAGGAACGTCAAGTTTGGTTGTTTCAGACCAAGACCAAGTGCCTTTCTGATTTTAGTTTTGTCAATAATCATTCTGATCTCCCACAGCCTTCACAGGTGTCGGTCGAGGAAAAATCCACTTCCTACACATTGTCGACAAATAGAAAGTCATATATCACATCACATGTGCATGCATATATTATTATGTGGACGTACTAAATTCAGAAAGCACATGTCATGTGCATCACATACATACACTGTTAGGATTATGATTACTTTTAAAGTTCTAGTTAATTTTATCATGACGTGGTAGGAATTGAACTCATTGTTATGTCATATAGTATACATATCCACTGATATAACATAGACACTACGAAAAATTTGACCCAGGATTAGGTTACTGATCTCTCAATTCATTTACCAAATCGATCTGCCAAAATTATTCAAACATCTCCGTTAAATCTCACAACGAGAAAAATATTTATAGGCACAAAATTAAATGTAACTATTACCAATATCGCGTGGCTATTTGAACAATATAAACACAATATATGTAGCTTTGAGTTTGTTAATGACTCAATATCATTCCAAGTCCGGCCCTGGCCCTGTGCTGTATGTGTATTTGCACAGGGTCCATTATATTTTTTGACATTTTTTAACTTATAAAAATATCCATTTTATTTTGAAAAAAAAAATTATAGGAAAAAGGGTTTTAAATAGTTTTTAGCCTAAGCCTCTTTGAATGTTTGAGCCGTTTCTAACTTGTTTATTTTTAGCTTATTCACGATTTAACTACGATATTTATTTCACAATTTGTTTATGGTTCATTTCTTCAAAATACTACAAAGTATAATTTATAGTTAGTTTTTTTTTCCTTTTTAGTGTATAGTTAGTTTACAACGAGAAAACCCATATAATAGTCACTTTTAGTTCTAAAATATTTTGACTTTTTGTAGCTGCAAAACCATAGCCTTTACAGCTTTGTTGTAGTGACTTTACGCAACTGGGTTATGTTTTATGTTGTTCCAAACATATTTATGCGATTCTGATTTCGTCTTATTACTTGCATCTTCTAGACAACACATATGACATAAATACTAATCATATCGAATGTGTGAAAGACAAGTAGATAACTATCGTCTGAAGAGAGGTCTACCATTTAATGGTAGAAGTTATTGGAGTAATCTTGGTTTGTTTTCAATCCTTTGACCAAAAAGAAGAGAAAAGTTTGTTCTCAATCTGATTGATATACAAAATGAAAAAAAAATGATAAATTCAACAGAAACCTTTCCGCGTGCAGACCGTAGTAAAACAGATCAAATATTCTCACACCATACAAAAAGATTCTCATGTGGCGAAGCAAATAAATCATCCATCAACACGACATTGACACGGCTCCTTTCTATAATTGTTAAACATCATTAGTGAATAGTTTACGAAGGAATCCGCCACGTATTACATTAACTAATTAATTAAAATGAAAACAATCATGTCTCTGTAAACATGTGTATATCTTCTGACAGTTGACAAAAAAATGTATTTTTTTTCTGACAGTTACTACGTGAGGCTGTGAGCCCATATGTCTTTTGCAGATTTTAACCTATTAAAACATAAAGCATTTGTTGTATAATTGTTTATATGATAATGATACGCTTGGAGATATGTCGTTATTGACTATTCATAGCTAAGGTGATAAAATACATAAACAAGAAGATATGTCCACAGAGAGTTGTGCTGAGTCATAGGTAGGACCTGGTCCCGTACGAGAAAAAAGCTTATAACAGTCGAGTGTCAGTTGGTCAGCAGAATGGTGGGACCCAGAACTTCCTCAAGTTAAACCAGCTGAAAAGGACAATGTATATACCACGTGGCTGTGACGTGGTCCAACTGCCAATAACAGACACCAACCTCCACCATATCCAATAAAGTACATCTCTTAATCTCTGCCTTGTGAGCATATATATATTTACCTTTTTATTGGTTAGAACTTTACAAACTCGTTAGTTCTTAATCTCTCTGTAATGCACAATCCGCCATGTTATTTGTTGATGATAGAAAGGCTTTGTGAAATAACAAAAAAGAAATAGTTTTTGTAGAGAGAAAATAGAGAGAGATAGAAAGAGAAGATGAAAAAAGTGTGATTATAGTTAGATAATGAATTAGTGTTTTTTGGTTGGTTATCTCACCTAATCTCTGTTGATATATAATGAGACGCAGTCATGCAACTCGTATCAAACTCATATCAATTTGATGATTTGTACCAATCTGCTGGTGTAATTTTTACTATACCAGCTAAAACTAAAAAAGATTTGATGTATTGAATTTTTGTTGGTCTTAGTTGTGTTTTCATAACTTTTGTTATGATGAAATAATATTAATATTGAGAAGAAAAGTGTTTCGCCAAGGATAAGGTTATAGTAAAATATGTAGATTAGAGGACTTGACCTAGACCCACAATAAGGTATTCATTTTTCGGATCTCTGTCATTAAACCCATTTCTTTATAGATATATGGTTATAAAATGTTTTTATATGGTTATAATTTCTAGACGTATTTTGAGTTTTTCTTTTTGAAAACTGGTTTACTTATTTTTAGTTTAATCAGCCATACTTCGACATGCGAAAATAATAACCAATCCACACGACACGTCGACGTCACGTATTAGTTACTACCATGACATGAAATGGACATGGATTTTTCACACATTAAAATAGTAGATTAGACTTTAATTAGAAAAACAGTAAGAGGTTATTAAAAACACTAAAAGTTACATATATGTATAATCATTAATTATCGTAGTATTGTAACATCTTTTTACCAAAAACAAGTATTCTAACATCTCATAACAAACAAGAATGTCAGCATAAAATCTCTTATCATATAAAAACAAATAGTTATCGAACTTCATTAATTTAAAATATACAAAAATTTTTATTTACGAACAGCAAATTAACGTGTGTGTCCATTTTTTGTCGACAATGTTCTTTTAAAAGGGCATTGATTAAAGCCTGTAGGACAAGCTGAGCCACTAAAGAAAGGAACATGCAACATTTGACCGTGGAAATGTGGTTAATACGACGCGTGGCGTTATGTATCATGTAGGGTAACACTGTTGGGACTTGGGACTGACCTTCGAACTGGGTAAGAAAGTCACATTCCATACTACTGCGTTGCCTGTGTGTTGCATTGTCATTTGTCACATTCCAAACTTCTAAAATAACTATAAATAAAGATGTAAATTTTAGATAAAGTTGACCACAGTTCGTAATCTAACACTAGACCCGGCCCTGAGAATGTGTAAAATAATATGGATCGGAAGCGAAAAAAAAATTATAAACTTATAAAAAAAAAAAAACAACTCAACTTGTTATTTTTTGGTTGATTATTTAAGCTTTAACCAACTGAACTGGTGAAAATATTAAAAATTATTGATCAAAATTTTATATAATGTTTGCACGGCCGGAATCATATGCTTCCATTGTTTTTACCCCGCTACTACTTACACCAAAAACAAAAAAAAGAATGTAAAGTCCACCACTAAATATCACATTTCTTTTTATTGTAAAATGGCTTTTTTCTTGTAAAATGGCTTTTACTTTTAGAATCCAACAACAGTAAATAAGAAATTTGAACCTTTTGGACTTTACTTTTAGTATCCAACAACAGTAAATAAGAAGTTTGAACAATGTTTTGTTTCTAGTTCTGATATTTAGAATTCAGATGACAGAAGAAGATAAATGTTCAATAAAAGATATGAGTGTGTTTAATGGCAAAACTGCTAATCACATGTAATCATGTATTGTCAAGAATTTTCCACATGTCCACCATCATTATAAATGTTTTAGATTCTTAATAAATGACTACCATTAAGAATAGATACATGGTTAATCAATATAAAGATATTATAGTGTTATATAATAACAATATACAATCTGTTTAGTCAAAAAAAAATATATATACAATTTGTTTAACAAAACTTTAGTACCAAAAACTTTTAATACTCTTAGATACATATAAATTGCAGATGCATATTTTTGGAGTCTTTTATTGTGAAATGTAAAAGTATATCTTTTTTTTTTTTTGTAACAGAAAAAGTATTATCTATTTAAATTATTAAATATAAATAAATTAGGTAGCCAAGGGAAATTGCCACTGCTTCATCTTCCCCTATAAATTGCTTTCATGCTCCTTCTCCCTCATAAGTCATAACCAAGTACATGTTTGGTTTTGAGATAACATAATAGAATCTGTTGGACTCGAAATATTTTTATTTCCTTATTTTCGGTAAGATAAAACTCAAAGCTTCTCTGTTTCAAAGCTTCTGACTTTTCTCTTTAGCCTTCTCTGTTACACTGTTTGCTCATGTATCTCTCGTGTACCTACCCGCTCTGTCTTTGAAGTAGTCTGTGTTTTCAGGGAGAAGATGAAGTATGTGCTTGTAACAGGAGGTGTTGTAAGTGGATTAGGAAAAGGAATCACAGCGAGTAGTATTGGTGTTCTTCTTCAATCATGTGGTCTTCGTGTTACTTGTATCAAGATAGGTATCTTTCTTTTCATTCATTCTTTCATTGTCTTCAGTTTAATGATGATTCCTTACAGAGCACTCAAACTATTTTCTCATAAACTCTCTAGATCCTTATCTAAACTATGATGCTGGAACCATGTCTCCTTATGAACATGGAGAAGTGTTTGTCTTAGACGATGGCAGTGAGGTAAATAAGAAACCAACTTGCTTGTCCTCTTCTACCTTTTTTTGGATGTAAAGACTTAAAAGACCTTTTGTTTGATGGGTTTGTATAAAAAGGTGGATCTTGATCTTGGAAACTATGAGAGGTTTCTAGATTGTACATTAACCAGAGATAACAATATCACTCTTGGAAAGATTCAACAGGTTAAGTACATAATGTTTTGTTTCTGTTAGTTAAAATTTATCTGCAACACTCACATAACATTTATTGTTGTCACAGCATGTTATGGATAAAGAGAGGAGAGGAGATTACTTAGGAGCTACTGTTCAGGTCAATTACAGAAATTCTAAACATTTATTTATTTATTTATTTTGTCATAAGCTTTGAGTATTAAAAGTTTTGTTTGGTAATGAATGTTTTAGATTGTTCCTCACGTCACTGATGCAATAAAAGAATGGGTGGAGAGAGTTGCCATGCTTCCTGTAGATGGAAAGGAAGGTCCTCCTGATGTTTGCATCATCGAGTTAGGTGGAACTATAGGTAACTAAACCCAAAAGAACAACANTTTATTTTGTCATAAGCTTTGAGTATTAAAAGTTTTGTTTGGTAATGAATGTTTTAGATTGTTCCTCACGTCACTGATGCAATAAAAGAATGGGTGGAGAGAGTTGCCATGCTTCCTGTAGATGGAAAGGAAGGTCCTCCTGATGTTTGCATCATCGAGTTAGGTGGAACTATAGGTAACTAAACCCAAAAGAACAACACCACAATATAGATATCTTTCTTTTGCTTCTTATGTTATCTAAACAGAGAAAATTTTGTGTTTTGTAGGAGATAATGAATCTAGACCTTTCACTGATGCACTTAGCCAATTATCATACAGTGTTGGTAAAAAAAAATTTATCTTAGCCATTCACTGGTGATATTTTAAGATGTATATCTAGTTGAAGTTGCTTTAATATTTTTTTTGTTGATTATGTTTAGGACCTGAGAATTTCTGTCTGATCCATGTCACCCTCGTGCCTGTGCTCAGTGTTGTTGGTGAACAAGTATGTACAAAATATATATGTACAGAAATGAAGTATTATATGTCATTGATAAATTTACATTTGTTTTGATCTTTTACTTCAGAAAACAAAACCTACTCAGCACAGCGTTAGAGATCTACGAGGATTGGGCTTGACACCTGATATTTTAGCTTGTCGAAGCACACAGGTTTACCTTATTCATTTTGGTGTCATATTCTCTTTGTTCTATTATAGAAACTTCTTATAATCTTATATTTTCTTCTGATAGGTACTTGAAGAGACTGTAAAAGGAAAGCTATCTCGATTTTGCTATGTTCCGGTATATATGATGCATCATCCTGTTTTTAGTTTCCTTTGTTGTCTTGTTTACTCAAAATCTCATGCATATCTTCATGCTTGTTTTTTTTCAGATCCAGAATATCTTCTCTCTCCATGATGTTCATAACATTGGGCACATTCCCTTGTTGCTCAAGGTACCAATTCTTCAACTACTTGATTATAGTGTAAGAAAACAATCAAAGGCAATACTTGTATTTGTTCCTTGAAACAGGATCAGAAGACTCATGAAGCAATCTCAAAAGTTCTGAACCTTGCTAGTATTGCTAAAGAACCTTCTTTAGAGAAATGGGCTTCGTTGGTGGAAATTAGTGACAACTTACATGTACAAGTGAGTCTCAACGTCCATATAGACCACACAACGTATAGCCTCATGTCTCTTTCTTATGCAACCAAGTCAAACTTTTACAGGTGAGAATAGCTGTCGTTGGGAAATATACAGACCTCTCAGATGCATATCTATCAGTCTTAAAGGTAAAACTTATACTTCACTTTCTCCCATGGCACATTATTCTCTTGGTATGGTTTAATATTAAGCAAATCTCTCAAATAAATCTTTTTAATTTTTTATCACAAAAATAGACTTCAAAAATTAAAATGACCAATACAACATTTTTAACCCGTGTTTCTAGCTCTAGTGGTATAGGCTTACAGCTGTGAATACCCCCACCTAGGGTTTCGAATCCCATCCAGACCCCTGTATAATTAAAAATAAAACATTTTTTTGAAAATTTTAAAATTTTTATATTTTAAAAAATTTGAAATCTTAACCCAAAACTCCATTCCTCAACTCTAAACAAAAAATCTAGAATTAGTTAATTCACATAGTATAAATGTATATTTACTTATTTTTTATAAAATATTTAAGTCTATTTTGATCATTTCTATTTTTAAAGTCAATATTTATGACAAATTTTTTTTAGGTCTATCCTAGGAATTTTTCTTTTAACATTTGACTTATTTGCATGAGTTTAACTTGTTTAGGCCCTTATGCATGCTTCTGTGGCTTTTGGCAAAAAGCTTGTAGTTGATTTGGTTCCATTCTCTGATCTTGAAATAACCACAAAGAAAGAGGTAATACAAATCAGATTAACTGCATTAATGTTTTTTTTTTCTCTGTTCTTGAAAACTATAAACATAATGTGTTTCTTTTGAGCAGAACTCATGCGCATACGAGGCTGCCTGGAAGTTACTGAAGGTTTGTTTTAACATATTTTTTCACTATTTTTAACATTTCTGAGATCGCCTCAAGATCTTTGTGTTGTTTCTTCAGGGCGCAAATGGAGTTCTTCTCCCTGGAGGGTATGGTGAAAGAGGAATGGAAGGGAAGATTCTTGCAGCAAAATACGCTCGAGAAAACAACATACCTTTCCTAGGTATCTGTCTTGGGATGCAAGTCGCTGTCATCGAGTTTGCACGCTCAGTTCTCTGCTTGCCCGATGCAAATAGCACAGAGTTCAATCCTGAAACCACACATCCATGCATCGTTTTCATGACTGAAGGCTCCACGACTCATAAGGGAGGGACAATGAGATTAGGCTCAAGAAGAGCGTACTTCCATGTCAAAGACAGTATATCTGCAAGGCTGTAAGAAACCATAATCGATCAAAAAAATCACTCGGTGAATGCTAAAATATTACTTATGTAAACTGGTTCTTGCAGATATGGGAACAAAGAGTTTGTAGATGAGAGGCATCGCCATAGATACGAGGTAGTAATTACATTTGAATTACACATTTAGGTTTCTTGATACTCAAGAAACTTAATTGCTTTTCTTGCAGGTGAATCCTGATATGGCTGTATCCCTAGAGAAGGCAGGTCTCTCATTTGCTGCAAAAGATGAGACTAACAAACACATAGAGGTTGGTTTTGTCTCACTGTTAAACTAATCTAAACTCGGCTTTTGTTATATGAATCTTTCTTTTCTATTGCAGATTGTTGAAGTTCCAGGCCACCCCTTTTTCATTGGTGCTCAATTCCATCCTGAATACAAATCTAGACCTGGGAAAGTATCTCCATTGTTCTTAGGTCAGAGTTCTTGTTATGATTTTGCAGCAAACTCTCCAAAAATTTTTTTTATCTGCTCAGAAATTTTAAATTAGTTACAATTCTTGTTCCCAGGACTAATAGCAGCATCATGTGGTGAGCTAGATGCAGTTCTGAGTCCATTCTCCATTCAACAAGACAAAAACCAACATGTGGTACTTGGAACAAGGGTTGAACCAGAAACTGGTTTTTGTAGTGGAACCAACAAGACATCTCAGAAACAGCGTCTCCTATGTAAGACATAACAGTGACCATTTTCTCCATCAGATTTCAGATAGCTAATGATATGTTTAATTAGCCTCTTAAGCCCATACATATATTTTTATTTATTGATATACTTAAAAAATTGACAAGTCTTGACAACGCTACATCTGCAGAAATTCAGGTAAAGCAAGAATGATTAGGATTCCAAAGGTCTGAAACTGCTGATTTTTAAAACACAGGAAGTAACCGATGTAAACTGAACCTGAATCCTAATTTTGATTCTGTGGTAAAAAAAAGAGTAAATGTAATAAACTAATAAACCTTATAAATAAACCTGACAACTATTCTATAGCTTAACATTTTTAATATTAAGGTACAAATTGTAAAACTATGAAATATAAGGGCATCTCTAACCCGATAGAATAAGAGTATGAGATAAGAAACACTTCAATAAATGGATTAATCTATTTTTATTTGTTTAATTATTATTCCATTATAGAATAAAGAATATAGTAGGATTAGTGTATTTTTCATATTTGCATTTTACTCCATTTTGAAAGAAAAAAAATGGAATTTTACATTGGAGATCATGTAAGATCCATCACTTACATCCCTATCTTGAAATAATTGGTTAAATAAAATACATTTCAAAACACTCATATTAAGTTCATGATCTTTGACTTTGAGAAACAATTTCCAAAGTAAAAAGAAATTATCACTTTACTGGGACTATTTTTTAGTCAAAGTTTGGATCAACCATATTAATTAGAATTATACATTAATTTTCACTTAGGTACATGGTCGTTTTGACATCACACTCTCACAGTTTCACTCGTAACTTCATGGACATGAGAGTGGTAAGAGTCCAACAGATAGTGAGAAAGATTTCCGGTGCTAGGAACTCAAATCGAATTCTTTATTTATTAGATCAACATAGTGTTACACGACATATCTTGATTAAACTTTCATAAAACACTAATAATTCATATCATCGAGTACACATGATTATCATATCCATAGTACCATGTGTACGTAGTTTATTCCAACGCGATAACTATCATAAAATAACGGCGGCATTAACCACTAGAATCATGCAGGTGGCGGTGTGAGCAATGGCAGTGGAGGAAAGTTAACGCCAGGGAAACCGGGAAGTGGTGCCGGAGGTGATGACTGTGACGGTAACGGTAATGGAAAAAGGGGGAAATTTCCTGGGAACGGAGGAAAGAGTGACGGTAACGGAGGAACGCCGGTGAAAGACAACCCCGGTGGAAATAGGTTTTTCATTTCATCTGTTGGATTCTGATCGTTGAGATGGCGAGCTGCGGTTGTTTCCGGCGAGAGGTGGAAGAGCAGAATTAGGGTTAGGGCTAAAGTGGTTACTGAAGAGGTCATTTGTTTATGTGTGTTTTTTTCTTCTTCTTGTATGTTTCTGTCTGTTGCAATAGTTGATGTTTAGTATGAGTGAGTATATATAGGCCTTTTTCACACAACTAAACGAACTTTTTCATTTATTTTAAAATCTATCATTATGTTTTTACCAACCATGTACCTGCATATTGTAAATTGCAGTAATTTTATTGACAAAATTAAACCACACACATAAATACAATTAATTGGTGCCAAGTATGTGTACCATTCAAAACTAGGTGGACTGATTTAACAACTACAACTGCATGTGTATCGCATGTTGGCTGTTGCATACTTTCCAATAAAAAGTCATTTAACATGATAAATGGTTGAAGAAAAAGAGAAACATGAAAATTGACTAATTAAATTATAACTAATACAGAGGAATGCTCATGAACATGTGTCTCCCATGCAGGTTGGTTAGAGTTCATTGAATTCGTCTAATTATATCAAAACCGACTCTATGCTTACATATTGCTCTTTAACATTCACATTTCATTATCCAATTTATTGCTTTTTGTCATCTGATACCTGTTTATTGTTTTATAAATTGTCTGTAAGCAGTTGTTTATGGCTAATTTTATAATCTTACAATTTTAAACACGGTCAAATTCTAAACGCAGCTCTGTTTAATTATTCTTAAGTAGCGATTCATCCAACATGACTGTATATTAGGGTGGTACATATTCGAGGTTTAGGACCTATGATTTCTAGTTGAAAGTTTAGACTGCTACGTCATCTACATTTACACATGTATAACCATGAATTTTGTTAAGGACATTTTCATATTTCCACATACACTATCACAAGGTAAACAAAGAGAACTCATCAAACTTGAACAAAACTACAACATAATAGTGACATTTTGGAGAACTTTCTCCTGATTTGAAATATGGAATGATGATATGCAAGGAATAAGACTCACAGAAATATGAAATGTGTTCAAACAAGGGATTGTTGTTTGATATAGTAGTTGTGTGTCAAGTGCAATGTTGATGATGAAAGAGAATATTAAGTGTGATTGTATAAGCCAAAAGGGAATTAGCAAGTGGGAGATCAATGAGAGACTAAATGATATAAGTTTATGTGCATGACAAAGCCTAAATGGCGTAAGTACCAGGCCAAAATGACATAAATAAAAAGGTCTAGAGGGCATGAGTAGGCGTTGTCTATGTTTATGGCCGATGCATATGTGAATAATTGTTTTACTGGAGTCGTTGAATGGATTATTTAAGTACTGATGTAGTTTGCTAGCATCATTACAAAACATCTTCTTGAATTACATTCTTCTATAGCTTCTCTATTGGCTTTGTGCTTAAAAGCAGATTTATAGTAAAAATCTGCGAGAGTTACAAGAGAGAGAAGAGCACGCTCAAGATTTTATCTCTCAAACGAACCAATAATCTAACATTTGGAGATGTGTAATACAAGTAAAGGACCTAAACCTGCTCATGAATTGGGGAGAAGCCGACCATTATACATCTTGTCGAGTAGCTCACGAGCACCAGGCCTTCTAAGAAGACCTTTGTTGTTTGGTAAACCTGTACCCAAGCAGACAGGACAAACAAGCTTGCCTCGACCTGTTTGCAAACAGGGCCACCAAAATCAAACAGAGAACCCCAAAACCAAACTACATTAGATATAAATGGTGGGGAAGAGAGACAAACCGTAGCAGTTTGGACATTCTGTAAACTCATATACATCTTTTGCACGTTTTCGGTTGAGAGCTTTCCATTTTCCTGTACCCCCACACATGTCACCTAGATCATAAAAACAACATAGCAAGATGTCATCTGACATGTTCACGAAGGAGAGTAATCATATATAGCTATAAGACGTATAACGAACATGTTTTTGTTTGCCATTTTAAACATAAGAACAAGAGAAGAAGTGTGACTCACAAAGAACAGCACCAATGCCCTGACAATTACGGCAAACTCCTGGTTTCTTGTCCAAAGCGTCTGCGCTTTGCACAGAGACAAAGGTGTAAGCATTGCTAATCAAAGCTGGAGATAAGCAAACACATGTCTTCATCCACTGTCTCCGTGACATCGATTTCGATTTCTCATCCCCCTGCAGCCAAGAACGCAAGCCAGCTTAAAACTCTAAAGTTTTTTCTTTAGCAAAATCGAAATGCAAGCAAAACTATAGATTCTTAACTACAATTAGCTCACCACCAAGGTTACTGTGAACAGTTAAGATTCAAATAGTATATAGCTAGAGGATGTGAACAAAATCAACTAGCTGGTTGTTAGGTTGGCTACTTGTAGTCACCAAATTAAACAATAAATATGCTTACTATTAATGAAAATGTTCTTATTAAGTAAAGATGATAAGAATGAAACTTAAGAATAATATTTTCATTTATATATTATTTAACCTGAGTTTTGTTGGTAGTATCCGAGGAAGAATCCAAATCGTTCGAATCTAAGCTCTCCGGAGATGATGATTTCGCATGGACACGAACTCGATTCCGGTTTGGTGCTGCGGCTGTATGAAACAACACGAGTTTCAGAAAATTAAGATAAGAAAAGAGGATAATAACAACAATGTCGAGGATGTTACAGATCAGCGGAGAAGAAGGTGTCTGGAGACAGGAAGGGAGCGCAAAGAGATGAGATGAAGCCTCCATTTTCAGTATACGGTCATGAGATTTTTACTAGCGGACCAGACTCCCTAACAATCTATCTATCTGTTATGTTTGAGAGATATTTTCATGCGTTTTTATTTGCTCGAATATTCTTCTACACTTTTTTTGTGGGATTGTTTTTTATTTTAATTTGAAATCTAGTTGAAATATATGGGTCGGCGGGTTACATGATTTCTCCAAAACACAAAGCCCAAATATAAGAAACAAGCCCAAACATAGGAACCACACATAAAAACCGCATAAACTTCCATGTTATTGTGATAATTAAAAATAGCGAGATTAGACCATCTCCAACAATAGAACCTTCATTTGAGATCTAAATCACTTTTTTAATTAAAATTAATCAAAAAACAAAATTTAGATACTTGTAGAGATTTTACTCTTCCAATGGTAGAACCAAACAAGGGTTCTAAATTTCAAAAATTTGAAAATTTGTCATAAAAAAAAATATTTGCATCACACTCCATTATATAAAACTCATAATTATTGAATTACATAGAATTTAAATTAAGTTGACATAAAAACATAGAACATAGATTGAGAAATCATAACTAACAACCAACCTCTGTACTGCAACATTGAACTCCTTTCTTAGCAAAGCTAATCTTTTTAATGATTATGTTAGTATTGTGTGGAAGGCGAATAGTAAAACAATGTTTCAGATGTGGCCAAGCTTTTTTCTTTAAAACAGAGGAGTCAATGTCTATCTTTTTTACCTGGCAGATGACAAAGGCATTGAAGATGACTGTATTCTTTACTCTCTCGGCGTTGAGAACTAACAAGACTGTCACTTGGTACGTACATCGTCTAATCATATGCAAAACAATCATAAACATTTTGATCTTTTAGACAAGTGAGGGAAAGAACAAGAAGAAGATAACTTACTTGTACAAACAAGTTTCTCCACATGATATTTGTGATGAGAGGTTCTCTGAAAACAAAAGAGGTAGATATGTAAATTGGGAAGAGATCACAGACTTCACACATGTCCGAGCTCAACTTGTACCTTCTGCCAACAGGAGCACGATCCATCAAGTGGTCCGTTGGTGGTTCGGTGGCTAAAGCAAGAGCACCAAGAATATCCATTATAAGATTGACCCAGAGAAGCTACAAAGATAAGACTTTTACTAACAGTGAATGCTTATATGTGCAGATGAAAAATGAATAAATTCAATAAAAATCTCAAGCAACAGGACTTAGTCGCAAGACAGACATCTAAAGCTTATCCAAATCAATGAGACTAAACTTGAGAAGAGCATCACTTCCAGTCATATATCCAAAATTCTGAAGGAGAAATGTTATCACGGTTAGAATGACGAAACACACTGAATGCAGCAACAAGAGTTTATAAACGTTTTAACCTAACCACTATCTTCTCGTCTGCTTCACAGATTTTTTCAACTTTAGCCTCTGATAATCCTTTGATTCCAGTGAGGTTCTACATCAAATCAGAAGATTCAAAACAAAGCAGATCGGTTCAATTAATAATTCATCCAATGAAACGACACTATAGTGCTACACAAGCTTAAGCTATATACGTTTTTGGTATGCATCATGAGACCATTAAGCATAACAGCTTAGAAACCCTACTAAGCAGCAGCAGTAGAGTAATTACTATCAAATCCAAAATCAAATCGTTAGAGTCCCCAAAACACCTTCCTCCGGATCTAAAATCATTTTTCACAATCTCTAAAACGCAATTGATTACCTTCCTGGACTTCTTCTCCGACGGTTCGCTCGCCAAATACCTGAGATAATCTCCACTCTAGAGACGGAGGAGGAGGTCCACATGAAGCCAGCGGTCGAAAGGATGCTTCCGGCGTTAGATTTTAGGCTCAACCGGTGACTGATTCGATATACGGCAGTTTCAAGGATTCATCTGAATCAATGAATCGCAAGAGAGAGGCAATTTTTCCACGAAAGAGAGAACACGGAACTCTTTTTTTTCTCCTTTTGTTTAAACCTTGTAACCAATGAGAGAAGACCACGTTCTATTTAGATATGCATCCAGAAACATCTACAATTAGATACAACTCTATCTAATTTTTTTATTTTTGATTTAATTAAAATCCAATTAATTAGATGGAACCTCACTTAGAAGTGGGTTAGATATACCTTTGGAGATGGTCTTACATTTGTTTTCAAATAAAAGTTGTACTGCATTATAAAAAGTGTGGTCAACTAGTAGTAGAGAGGATTGGCCATAGAGTGAAAACCACGTAGTAGAAACTTTTTGCCGACAAATCAGCGCAGCGTGTTTGTCGGGACTCTCACTCACTCACAAGCTGCCGGAGCTACCGTGTTCCAATCACCGCGTCTCTTTTATGTCTGTTGCATTCTCATTCGCTCTTTTAGTATATCAAATTATAAAGTAATAAAATTTAAAAATAAATTTATTCGTCTTGTGTTCCCCCTTGGCTCGCTTTCACCGTAAAGGCGCCATTACTACCTTCTACAACACCGCTCTCTCTTTCCTTCCCTCATTTATACTCTCTCTTTCTCCTCCTTTAACTTCAAACATTTCTAAACAGAACCCACGCAAAAAAAAAAAAAAAAAATCAAATCTTTATCTCTCTTTCTCTATCAGGTATTTACATCTCTCTTGTGTATCTGCTTGATAGTAGAGTTGTGAATATAACCCTTTTATGCTTGTTTGTTTGTTCTTCCGTTTCTGCTATTCGTTTAAGTCCCAATTCTACACCCTTTTTTTTTTTTTTTTCTGTTTCCTAATGAAACTTGGATGTCTAAAGCTGATGTTTCACTTTGTGTCGGTGTGATTAATGCATATAGTAGTTCCTTTTTCATTTATATAAATTATTCTGCATTGTCATTTTTTTAATAACCGACACTTACAGCTGAACTGATAATACTAGGCCGTCTGTTTTTCGGAATCAAAATGCTGAATCTTGGTAGAGCAAGAATCCAAGGTAGACAAAACAGATCCATGTCTTTTGAAGGTGAGAGAGATGTACACAGATTATCAATGCTTTCCTTCTTTTGTATCTTGTTAGTAAGTTGGTAAGTAAGTTGAATGAGAGGTTGCTAGCTCCAGAATCTTTTCTTGTGTTTCTAATTTTGGATTCAAAGTTCACATATCTTGGTGATTCTTGGAGTGTAGGATTAGATTATGCAGACCAGAAGAAGAACAATGATTACACAGGGAAGATTGTATTGGTTATTTCCCTTACAGCAATGTGCATTTTAGTGCTCAAGCAATCTCCAACTTTCGATACTCCAAGCGTGGTATTATTACTTCCCCATAATGTTCTTAGATACAGTTTCTCATTTCTTTACTAGTCAAATGTTACTGAATGGTTTGTATGTTTTCTCCATCTTCCAGTTTTCTCTACATGAGCCTGGAGTTACACACGTTCTAGTCACTGGTGGTGCTGGATATATCGGCTCACATGCAGCTTTACGCCTTCTCAGAGACTCATACCGTGTAACCATCGTGGTATGTATCTTCATTGTTGTTGTGCTCAGTGTTTCATCACTCTTCAGCCTTACTCCTTCTGTGTTGCAGGACAATCTATCACGTGGCAACCTCGGTGCAGTTAAAATATTACAGCAGCTGTTTCCTGAACATGGAAGGCTTCAGTTCATTTACGCTGATCTTGGAGATGCACATGCTGTATCCTTAACTCTAGATATAAGACCTTAAAAAACGAATAGTACACTTTTTTTTTGTTTTCTTAACAAGAAATCTCTCAGGTTGACAAAATATTCTCAGAGAATGCATTTGACGCTGTGATGCATTTCGCAGCTGTTGCTTATGTTGGGGAAAGCACACAGTTTCCTCTCAAGTGAGTATCATGAAAAGAGATTTTACATTTACTGTCTGAAGGGTTGAGAAGTATATTTTGTTATGTCATTTGCAGGTATTACCACAACATCACATCCAACACATTGGTAGTTCTAGAGACAATGGCTGCTCATGGTGTGAAGACTTTGATATATTCAAGCACATGTGCTACTTATGGAGAGCCTGAGAAGATGCCAATAACAGAGGAAACTCCTCAGGTCCCAATCAATCCTTATGGAAAGGCTAAGAAGATGGCAGAAGATATCATCTTGGACTTCTCCAAAAACTCCAACATGGCTGTCATGATCCTCAGGTTGGTGGCTGATTCTATGCTCTATGCTCGTTAACTCTTCCCCTGAAGCTGACTTTCTTGTTTTCATTTTAGATACTTCAATGTGATTGGGTCTGATCCTGAGGGAAGACTTGGTGAAGCTCCAAGACCAGAACTCAGAGAGCATGGAAGGATCTCTGGTGCTTGCTTTGATGCTGCACGAGGCATCATTCCCGGTCTACAGGTGATTACCACTCTCTTTTCTTTGTGTCATCACATTCATTACATACCAATCTTTGTTCCATGTTTATTCTGTTCTTTTTCCGTAGATTAAAGGAACAGACTACAAGACTCTTGATGGGACTTGCGTACGTGACTACATTGATGTCACAGACCTTGTTGATGCTCATGTTAAAGCTCTTGAAAAGGCAAAACCTAGCAGAGTTGGAATCTTCAATGTTGGTACCGGGAAAGGTATGCAAATAGATTCTTGGTTAAAAGATTATATGAAAGAAAACAAAAGTGATGCTAATATTTATAGAGAATGTGGTTGTGTGAGCAGGTAGCTCAGTGAAGGAGTTTGTGGAAGCGTGCAAGAAGGCCACAGGGGTTGATATAAAAGTTGATTACTTAGAAAGAAGAGCAGGAGATTACGCAGAGGTTTACAGCGATCCAAGCAAGATCAGAGAGGAGCTGAACTGGACAGCTAAGCACACAAATCTTAAAGAGAGTTTGGAAACTGCATGGAGATGGCAAAAGCTTCACCGCAATGGCTATGAATCTTCTTCTTCATCCTCCTTGTTCTCTGCATACTGATTGCTCTTCTAGGACTCCTTTCACAAGTAGATGATAGCTAGAGATTAGAGTCTTGGTTCTAGATGGTAGTGAAGGGAGTAGAAGATGATGTGTTCTTATTTATTATTACTACTATTGTATTACATATGAGATTTTATATTTGATTAATAATGGTTTTAGGTTAACTCTAGGAAGGTCCAACGTTTGCACCTGTTTGTAAAAGGTTACCTCTCAAATATATTATTGTGATTGAGGTTGATCCAAATCATGTGTCCTCTTGTTTTTGTTTTAGCTGCTGATTGTTCTGATTTAGATTCAAACCATGTGTTTATGAGACAGGGAGATTGGTTGTAGACATGATTCCACACAACTTCTTTTAGCTTTGCTTTAGTCATGGAAGAGTGAGTCTTCAGGCGGTTGATTTGGGCCTCATGGGTCAATATATCAAATCAGTTTCTTTGACTAATGGGCTTTTGTGTAGTGATATGAACGTTAGACTGTCTATCTTTGTCGATTAGAAACATGGGACATTTTTTCGTATTGACAAGCCAGTTTTTTACCTAAAGCATATATCATCACTGAATTAATGTACTATAGTCAGCTGAACGAACTCAATCTACACAAATTTAAATTTTTAATCATTTATACTATAGCTAAATTCACATAACGCAAATAAAAAATAAATAAGGGTGACTGTTGTTTTTTCTATGAACTTGAGGAGTACTTAAAGGGCATGGTCGATTTTACGTAAAGTCTATCATGTGCAAAGGTGCCCACGTGCTACACAACCCAATAACAAAAGTATATACTTAGACCTTTTCATGTAGTTATGTGACGATCTTGCAATTCTCAAAGTGTGATGGTTTTAGGCTTTTTGCTATATTTTTTGACAAAGGGAAATGATGTACTACGAACTTAAGTCATCATATATTTTAGTTATGTCCACCTTTTAGATGTAAAACAATTTTATCTACGGACATAAGTCATCATATGTAAACAATTGTTGGATATATATCTCCAACAACTCAACAATACCCTTTTGTTATTTTTATTCCTTAATTATAAACATTGTTTGATAGCTTATGATTATTATCAGAAAGTGTGACTTTTCAAAAGTTCATATTAAAACATACAGAATATCACTTGGTGATTTGAAGTAGAATGACACAGTAGTTGATTAAACTTGCTTAGATGCAAAATATTAAGGGTCTGACTGGTTAAAACGCGGCGGTTGCGATTGCGGTTGCGGGAGTTTGCGGATGTGGGTGGTTGCGGTTTCTAGCGTTATTAGGCGATTTGTACGACTGGTATAGCGATTAAAAACTGGTGCGTTTGCAGGACATTTATGACTGGTTGATTATGAGATACTACAGCGGTTCAATAATAAATTTCCAATATTAACATATTATAACATTATAAAAAAATCAAAACATACTGTTATGATAAAAAATAATAACTATTAATATATTATAAGTAATAACAATATTATTTTATTATTTTTTATTTAGATGAAAATATAATTTCTATAATTAATAA